GGGGGTATTTCCAAGTGGGGGAAAATTGAGGAAAAAGGTGAAAATACGTGATTTTTAAAGAAACCTTTCAGGGTGGGGGTGGGGGTTCCTGAAGCCCAAAAAATCCTCTGGATCCGCCACTGGTATCATAATACAATTAACGTTAGACGCCCAAGCACATGCAATATGTAACACTACTTACAATTGAATGCATATTTGGCATGTTCACTTTCGTCCATGGCGATCAACACATTGAACTTTTCCTCCTCCATGGTGTGTCCTGAAGTATACGTGATGTTCCTGGTGAATGGTGTTGCCACTCCGTCGAGTATATACGTAAATATCACTCAGCGCCCTGCTGGGTAAATTACACAGACTGCTGTTATTAGTGTACTACTATACTCTCCAGGCAAGTTTTTACTTCATCGAGCTGTCGTCTGCTCGTGTGATATCTTGGTAATTTGTTATATTTATCCACCTTCGGTCGTATAAAACACTAAATGATTGTAAATTGTGTTATTGTTTTGATGTAAATTCTACCTAACAACTGGCACATGTAATCTCGCCGCGGGGCATGCATATTCCAATGCACATGACCTCATAAAAACAAATGGCTTTGCAAGAAATGAATGTGGATTTCAAGGGAAATCATTTTTTCAAAATATAACGTTAAATGAAAATCTGTTCCGGTCGAGGTTGATATTGACACTACTAAATATAAGTGGGTTTATTTCGAGAAGAATACATATAAGAAGAAATTATCTTATATTGTTATGTTAATTTGTATGGCTTAATTACCAATGTATACAGTCCACATCGGCCACACTTTCCATATATAGAAGACACTTAGTCCGGAAATGTATTCTCACTCTCAGCTGACGTTCTATATCTGTAATACACCCTTCCTAGTTACACTACAGCATTAGTTCACGTTTTAATGATCAGCTTTTATCTAAAAAATTGTTTACACATACAATATATATTATATACATCCGCTAGACCACCATGTGTTGTTTATCATTTACCATTTTGTTTTGAAATGTTGTATTGAGAGAAGAGAGGTGAGATTGGACGTTTGATTACAAACCCCATATTGTGTATGTTAACCAACTTTAAATAAACATGTGCAAGAAATCATATATTCAAATGCCAAATTATCACCAACATGAATGTAAATTTGGGTAGACCCCCACATTTTACATTCAGAAATAGATTTCTATATCTATACAATTCAGTTTATTCATGGTAGTACATATTTCTCAAATGGTCAAACTGGTAAATATGCTCAGTATTGCCCGACGTTAATTAGCTAGATGACATATACTCCCATAACATGAGAGGCCGCTGGTCGGTCCTTTTTCTATCGGATATGATTTTGCCGACTGCGGCGCCTGTCAAAAGATTTTCGCCGTGTAAAACCTCTAACATTGTTGGAGTAGATAACATAATGATAAGGCTAATATCCAAGGACAGTAGTGGTATACTTACGTACTATGAGATTAACATGGCAGTAACTTATGCTGTGATATTGTCTATGTCGTGGCATTTACGGTCCACACCGATTTAAATGCAACATTTTGCAGGTCAATTGGAGTTTAACTGCATAATTTGTCTGGTATGTAACGTCAGCAATGCAGGTGGAAAAAATGTCGACCCGCGCACTTCATGACCTCGTGACACTAGACTGGAGATAAGCTAAGCGTTTCGACGATGACGAAATTTTATGTTGGGAATTGGGAAGTTTTCAAATGTTTCGTGTTCCTGGATTTTTTTTCAATGCACCGACTACACATCGGACATTTCAAAAGTAAAATACAAATCAATTACCAGACGGATTATAGCTTTCGTGGTTAAATATAAGTAACCCTGTTTTCTTTTCTGTAGTAAAGGAGTTTTTGATGAGCGCATTTTCTCATCTCATAAAATTTTCCACTACATTTATCAATTCATAAACATGAACAAGGTACACGAATGTTTAAGCACAACGAAAAATAAGAAACTACCGCTGAAGGTGGAAAAACATTTATTCAGTTATCGTTGTAGGTCTAGTGTTTACATACAACAAACATAAATATTTGAACACATTCACCTTCATTTATCTATCATATATATACATATTACTACCATAATACTCTAAAACCTCGAAAACGATGACTTCATAGTAAGGCAACCATAGATTATTTTCGAGGCCGGGTTTAATTTTGTGAAGGATGTCTATTTATCAACGTATTTTAAAGACATTAACATGAATTGTCTCGACAGGCGGCTTTGCTGTCAAACTGGTTCCGCATCACTCTACTTTTGAATAAGTACCTATTATACTGTACAGTATTGTGATCAACCGTTTAAACTACAATGTAACGAAACGTTTTGTCAGACAGTGTACGTGTTTACTGCTGAACCGTACGTTATACACAACGAACCTTTCGATCAATTATTCCTATGTGACTAAACATAAAAGCAAGTCAGTTTTATTTTCGAAATAGTAGGGTACGCACTTACAATCTGATATGTGTATAAGAGTGAGAATGATGCTGGGACTACAGACGCCAGTTCGTCTCATTGGCAACTGGTTTGTTCATCGTGATACTTAGGCGCATCAATTTAAAAAAAAGGAAATAGAAATAAGGTAAACTTGGATAATGAGTTTAACAATTCATTGTATAGGAGATATAAAGTGTATACGATGCACGTTATGTATAATAGTATACACTAATGAAATGGAAGATAGTATCAAAATAAACAGGAATTTAAACATTTAGCTAGAATTCTGCGGTGTCGTTGCTAACGATGACGTGTCTTGTTGCGTATAATAGTTTACATAAAGCATCTTATACAGATATTACGAATTGCTATATTACTACTGATTAAAACCCCTTCATTTTATCAAACATGCTACGATTTGGATTGTTGAGCATGTTTATGATCATCGTCTGAATGTCGACAAACCATTGTCGGTACCATTGAATGATGAACGATGTAGTCACTGACGCTTCCCATGATTGTCCTGCGCACTTTCCCAAGCCCCCTACATCCGGTCACGATCATCTTTGCATTACATTGTTCAGCAGCTTGTATGATGCCAACACCAGGTTTTTCAGCGTGGATACTTTTGACAGTCCCCTCTATCTGGATATTGAACATAGAAATTTAATACATATCAATAACGGTTTTCTGTTGTTGTGCAATAAATAATATTTGGCTTATTAAATTATACATGAGTGAAATGTTCAAAAATACGTTTTTGTTAGGCAATATACACAGATTTAAGAAAATATACTGTTCATCCATACAGTAATATATACTTATCTACAGTCAACGAAACATAAGTCAACGCTATATTATCATGAAATGTACACATTCAAATGTACGTGTAAAATAGTATGTAGCAATATCAACATGTAGCCTATAACTAGCATCACCTACCCCTACGCGCTTCAACATTTCACCAAACACCTCCAGTTTGTCCTTTATCCTTTCCTTTTCCTCCTCTATTAGCTTCTTGAGAAGAACTGTATCATATCCGTGCGGGGACGCTGCAAATAGAGAAGGAACACGTACAGGTAACACTTTACATGAAGTTAACGCTGTACATAGAGAAGGAACACGTACAGGTAACACTTTACATGTAGTTAACGCTGTACATAGTGAAGGAACACTTACAGGTAACACTTTCCATGTAGTTAACGCTGTACATAGAGAAGGAACGCGTACAGGTAACACTTTACATGTAGTTAACGGTGTACATAGAGAAGGAACACTTACAGGTACCACTTTACATGCAGTTAACGCTGTACATAGAGAAGGGACACTTACAGGTAACACTTTACATGTAGGTAACGCTGTACATAGAGAAGGAACACTTACAGGTAACACTTTACATGCAGTTAACGCTGTACATAGAGAAGGAACACTTACAGGTAACACTTTACATGTAGTTAACGCTGTACATAGAGAAGGAACACTTACAGGTAACACTTTACATGTAGTTAACGCTGTACATAGAGAAGGAACACTTACAGGTAACACTTTACATGTAGTTAACGCTGTACATAGAGAAGGAACACTTACAGGTAACACTTTACATGTAGTTAACGCTGTACATAGAGAAGGAACACTTACAGGTAACACTTTACATGTAGTTAACGCTGTACATAGAGAAGGAACACTTACAGGTAACACTTTACATGTAGTTAACGCTGTACATAGAGAAGGAACACTTACAGGTAACACTTTACATGTAGTTAACGCTGTACATAGAGAAGGAACACTTACAGGTAACACTTTACATGTAGTTAACGCTGTACATAGAGAAGGAACACTTACAGGTAACACTTTACATGTAGTTAACGCTGTACATAGAGAAGGAACACTTACAGGTAACACTTTACATGTAGTTAACGCTGTACATAGAGAAGGAACACTTACAGGTAACACTTTACATGTAGTTAACGCTGTACATAGAGAAGGAACACTTACAGGTAACACTTTACATGTAGTTAACGCTGTACATAGAGAAGGAACACTTACAGGTAACACTTTACATGTAGTTAACGCTGTACATAGAGAAGGAACACTTACAGGTAACACTTTACATGTAGTTAACGCTGTACATAGAGAAGGAACACTTACAGGTAACACTTTACATGTAGTTAACGCTGTACATAGAGAAGGAACACTTACAGGTAACACTTTACATGTAGTTAACGCTGTACATAGAGAAGGAACACTTACAGGTAACACTTTACATGTAGTTAACGCTGTACATAGAGAAGGAACACTTACAGGTAACACTTTACATGTAGTTAACGCTGTACATAGAGAAGGAACACTTACAGGTAACACTTTACATGTAGTTAACGCTGTACATAGAGAAGGAACACTTACAGGTAACACTTTACATGTAGTTAACGCTGTACATAGAGAAGGAACACTTACAGGTAACACTTTACATGTAGTTAACGCTGTACATAGAGAAGGAACACTTACAGGTAACACTTTACATGTAGTTAACGCTGTACATAGAGAAGGAACACTTACAGGTAACACTTTACATGTAGTTAACGCTGTACCTAGAGAAGGAACACTTACAGGTAACACTTTACATGTAGTTAACGCTGTACATAGAGAAGGAACACTTACAGGTAATACTTTACATGTAGTTAACGCTGTACATAGAGAAGGAACACTTACAGGTAACACTTTACATGTAGTTAACGCTGTACATAGAGAAGAAACACTTACAGGTAACACTTTACATGTAGTTAACGCTGTACATAGAGAAGGACCGATAGGTATTTCAAATACAGACAAATCGTTATCGAAATACAAATACAAAACATCGCTGCATCGCAATATTCTTCAAAACTTATTTTCATGCAACTGCTATGTTTTAAACCTTGCAAATATATCGGGATACATATCGCAATATATCTCTTCTGTATTACAATTTTACGTACTTACTAAACATGTGTTTGTGACATACTTACTAAACATGTGTATTGTGATATACTTACTGAACATGTGTATTGTGACACACTTACTAAACATATGTTTTGTGGCATATTTACTAAACATGTGTATTGTGACACACTTACTGAACATGTGTATTGTGACACACTTACTAAACATGTGTATTGTGACATACTTACTAAACATATGTTTTGTGACATACTTACTAAATGTGTTTTAGTGACATACTTCTTGAACATGTGTCTTGTGAAATACTTACTAAACAAGAGTATTGTGACATACTTACTAAATGTGTTTTAGTGACATACTACCTGAACATGTGTCTTGTGAAATACTTTCTAAACATGTGTATTGTTACATACTTACTAAATATGTTTTAGTGACATACTTCCTGAACATGTGTCTTGTGAAATACTTACTAAACATGTGTATTGTGACATACTTACTGAACATGTGTATTGTGACACACTTACTAAACATGTGCATTGTGACATACTTACTAAACATATGTTTTGTGACATTCTTAGTGAACATGTGTATTGTGACATACTTACTAAACATATGTTTTGTGACATACTTACTGAACATGTGTATTGTGACATACTTACTAAACATGTTTTAGTGACATACTTCCTGAACATGTGTATTGTGACATACTTACTAAATATGTTTTAGTGACATACTTCCTGAACATGTGTCTTGTGAAATACTTACTAAACATGTGTATTGTGACATACTTACTAAACATATGTTTTGTGACACACTTACTAAACATGTGTATTGTGACACACTTACTAAACATGTGTATTGTGACTTACTTACTAAACATATGTTTTGTGACATACTTACTGAACATGTGTATTGTGACATACTTACTAAACATGTTTTAGTGACATACTTCCTGAACATGTGTATTGTGACATACTTACTAAATATGTTTTAGTGACATACTTCCTGAACATGTGTATTGTGACATACTTACTAAACATGTGTATTGTGACATACTTACTGAACATGTGTATTGTGACACACTTACTAAACATGTGTATTGTGACATACTTACTAAACACATGTTTTGTGACATACTTACTGAACATGTGTATTGTGACATACTTACTGAACATGTGTAATGTGACATATTTACTAAACATGTGTATTGTGACATTCTTACTGAACATGTGAATTGTGACATACTTACTGCCCATGTGTATTGTGACTTACTTACTAAACATATGTTTTGTGACACACTTACTAAACATGTTTTTGTGACATACTTACTAATCATATGTTTTGTGACACACTTACTAAACATGTTTTTGTGACATACTTACTAAACATATGTTTTACGACCTACTTAATGAATATGTGTATTGTGACATTCTTACTGAACATGTGAATTGTGACATACTTACTAAACATGTGTATTGTGACATACTTACTAAACTTAACACCAGGTTTAGAACAAACTTACCACTGGATCTACACAACGTACCACTACGTATATTGTTAACTGACCACGGTGTAAGTAAGTACTTACCATTAGGTTTGTACCACTCGGCGTTGTGGACGGCACTCTCAAGACTCATCACATGTACTAATACAATATGAAATTCGGGACGATGGAGGTTCTTCACGTACCCTGTAACACCAATACGTGCAGTACATGGCACCACGGAAACATGTTGACAGGAAATGTAACTGCAGGAATTATTCCAAATATTCCATGTGTAACATGATCAATACACATATTTGTCATATTTCAATCGTATTCTAACAGATCCTTCACAATCAAAGTGTTTTACTCGTGGCAGATCATTTGTTTTATGTTTTGTAGTAATATTCATGATAGTTCACATGCATTATGTTCGATATCCATGGGTTTCACGTTCAACAACATCTTCTTTAAAGAGAACGGTAAGAGAGCACAACCCATTGAATTTCGATGGTAACCAAAACGAAAACAAGAGGCCCAGAGGGCCTGTATGACTCATCTGGATATTTAACTGCCAATTGAAATTATTCTCAATAAAAGGTATTTGGCAAATATTTCCATACATTGACTCTCCTTGTCTGACGAATATTCCAGAGTAAATGAAACTTTATACTTCTATACCAGCATGCTACTGGTCAAATATCATCACCCAGAGCCTCCTGGTATTGCAAAAGAAGTTGTTTACGGTATTAACATATTTGACCCTGTGACTTTTAAAGTAGGTGAAGATCATTTATTTGAAGAAACTTTATATTACGTCATGCCTGATATTTACTGGCATGTGTCTCCTGGTGATTGTGGATTAACATCGGCATATAATACTTTCATCGGAGGAATTTATCATTGTCATATAATATTGATAACTATAATTTGCTGCGACGACGGGTCTCGCTAACGGAGGTAGATATATAGCTGCAGGTGGGCTAACTACCTGTATTGACTTCTATAGATAATAATTAGAAAGTATTCAATACGGCAGCCTCCTGTGTATTCGCTCCTCAGTTTCCTATTTATAACATCACTATCGAAAGTTTGGTAGAATTATCATGAAAGCTTCGTACGCTATACACTATAAGGTATATATATAATATGGATATCTATATATTCGCGCCAATATTCTGGCTTTACATGAAAACAGACCAGCCAGCTGAACAGTGTCTATGCAGCATTCTATAAGGTCATATATCGGAGAATAAGACTGATTGTTAGATATATTTACAGCATTTACAATTGAATACGTGTTCCTTAAAAAGGTAAATTTTGTATTAACCAAAACATTATTGTTTAACATTTAATTTGTCAAGATTTTAAAGTATAACACATATCGTATAAAATCTTTTACCAATCTCTAACATTAAATCATCCCATGTCCATTTATGCAGGATATGGACCTATGTAGCACTGGGTTGTATCCCAGAATACAGCCCAGTGCTACATAGGTCCATATCCTGCGGTTTATGTCTTGTAAAAGATACTATACTTACAATCGAATGCAAACTTGGCATAATCACTCCCATCCACAGCTATTACGACATTGAAACCGTCCGGGGTTGATTCGGCCATCTTTTTAAAACACTCGTCCTTCCGTCAGTGTGTGTACTACAACGTGAACGTGCTATTTGAAGCAGACGATCCACAACGACGCTGTATTTATGTAAATAGCCGAACGCTGACCTAGAACTGGTTTGAAGACAACAGTTGAACTTTATTTACACATGCGATTTACATCATTGATGGTGTATGACTGCAGTCTGTTGAGAAGCTGTTAGCTTCCCCGCGATGTATGTCCTTGGTAATGCACCAGGAACAGATCGATGGTCTGTATTTAGATTACAACCTAGTCCTGGGTTGTATAGATTTTCGTTAATATAATGGTGATATATATAGCTACTATAACTAGCATGACACACTACACTGTAGCATTGGCAGTGTAAGGCTCGTTGTTCAGCCAGCCATTTCATTCGCTGACCTTCCGTAAGTTCATATAGAATGAGAGCAGTGAGTGCTCTTGCCCTTTTTATAATTGCTGGTGATCATTATGTGAAGAGTGATAGTCTATTCATCCAAGCGCGTGTGTGACCTTGATAAATAGTTTTCGGTGTCACATCTGTGTACCTGTTCTGTATTTCACGAAAACATATTTACAACCTAATAATCACTTGCGCGTGTTAAATAGCACGTACAGCTAAAGAATTAACATATTCTATATACATTTGAACATGTACATGCTTATTTGTGTGATATACTTGCCTTCGTCATGACTTTGTCTTCATAACAAAAGACATAATTTAAGAGTCCACTGCTCCATTTTTTTCTTATTTGTCAGCTTATTTTAGCTTAATTATTATACATTATAACCACACATTTCCTGTCAAAGCAAGTTTGACTTATGATACTTTAAAAGGCAATATTATATTAGCCTTGGAATAAGTTTCACCAGATATTTGTCAGCTTATTATATCATATAGTTTTAAGTTATTTCAATATACACTGTTGTCAAAATAAATTATGACTTATGATACTCCAAAATGCAATAAAATACAAAAAGGACAAGTGTCATCGCATTTTGAGAGAACAATACTTATAACAACTTTCATACGTTATTCTAGCACATTGATGTTCAAGTTAATTTAGACTTTTAGATCTGCACTTCCAAAAGGCAATAATATATCTTAAAATAATATAAATATCACCAAATTTAAAAAGACCAATATTTTTGTCAGCTTACTCTAGCTTATCATAAGATAGTATAACACTGTTACACATTGGTGTCAAGGTAACTTTGACTTTAGAGACTCCATAAAGGCAATAATATACATGAAAATATATAGGAGCCATCACATTTAAAGAGACCAATTATATAGATATACATATTTGTTAGCTAATTATAAGGTATTTTATTACCTATTCCTGTACTACCAACTTTAGCGAGAAAACGGTTAACCGCTTTAGTACTTTATCGGATGATATATCCTTATGTGCTGGTAGAATGTCACATATTTTATGCTTATTACTTATTAATTATTACTGCATGTATAGTTTTCTACGCTTAAACGCGTTAAAAATAAAATTGACCTATATTTGGCAGGAGTACACCATTTTTCATTATGTTCAGGAACTGTGTGTCACTGTCCTGCATTAAGAACCCCTCTATAACACCACAGGCTTGATTTCGCAAATTATATCTTAAATCACTGTACAGTTTGCACTCAATTAAGAAATGTTTTCGACTTTCCTCATGTCACAATCGGTACACAGTCTATCATGAAGTTGAATGGGCGGCCTGGCAGTCTCCACTGCTAGCGGAAGACATCCGACATGTGTCGTCGTAGAACCAGCTATAATTAAATCTCTGTACTAATTGAGTTTTTGCATACTTTTTTCTCGTGCATGTACTTCATACAATTACTGAGAACAAATTAAAGGTATCCCCAAATGTTTTAAAGGCATGCGGCTTTTTCTAACATACAGATATAAATTCAATGTCTTTGTTTAAAGTATCTTCAGCAAACGTTGAGAGCGATTTTGTAATTAATGAAAGGCTGTAAATATTGCGCCGACACGAATGAAAATGAATACAAATAATGTCGCATTGGTGTTAAGGTGAATGCATTTCCTTGAAAGAGGATGTTCTTCCCACAATTTTGCAATTTACTTTTACCTGCAGCAGTAGATAGTTGTCGATGACTTGTAGGCTCGTCTGCTCATATTACCTTGTTATCATTTCAATTCTTTTAACTGAGTTAGATTGTTCCAATCGATCAAGGTATACTGACAATGGGTAAACAAGTTGTTGCTTCACCCTAAATACAAACGTTAAACAATGAATAACAACTACAATTTTAGGGACTTTAATATTTCCAGGCCTAGGGACAGAAATCGTATTTCCTCTCGTTCCTGACCTATCGAGGGTAACAAAGGGGTGAAATACATTTCTATCTATTTGTTCATGAAACCCCTTGGATGGAATTTCCCTTTCTACACCGCTGTGCATGAAGGAGTCATTTATTGCTAGGAAAGGCGCTAGGGAACAAAACAAGTTGATAGGAAATTGAGAGAAATCCCTCATATTGCAATCTCCGTTCCGGCAATAAAATATGATTTTAACATACTGATATAATACCTTGCATATGAACAATCGTATATTTAGTATGATCTAATTTGATATCAAACGTTTATATCAAAACATATGTTGTTACATAAAGTTACATCAATGTGTTATTCATGTGCCTCTTTCATCTCTGCTAATGTATATATCAGTGTTACTCGATATCACTGAAACAAAACTGTGTGTTGACAAAAATATACGAAATATATTATCCACAAGTATAAACGATTAGCTCATTTTCATATTAGAATGTTCGAATTTTAAATTAATTTCCTTTCTCGTTTGCTTTTCTTTTGGAAACTAATGATCGTCCAAAACAAATCTTGAAGACGACATATCTGAACAAAACAACATTTATTCATTTTATGATTTATATAATACAATATACTTTAAATCTTATCCGTAAAACACAATGATAATGATGTAAACGGGAACCCATATAAATATAACAGACAACTATGTACTTGTAGAACGTTTACCCCTACAGCATATTGATAATAATAGTGACGTCAAACTGTATCCGCATAACAAACAGACATGCACATGTAAAAACTATACCACAATGATAGATACATATAGGCATAAAACCATACCCACACAACACACTGAGAGTATTATAAAAGCCTACCCGTACAACATAGCACATGTAGATAGTGCATGACATATAATGTCAAGCATTTAAGATTTGTCCAATTATGTTCGATTTAAAGGGGCTGGTCGGGGAAAAATTGTCATATTTGCTAAAATGGCATACACATGTTTAAAATACCTTCTTATGAAATATAGCGATTCAAATTTTGATGAAATTCACTCCCTAAGAGTAAAAATTATAACTGTATTAAAGAAATCCTAAACCGTCACCTGACAGTCTAAAACTCTCAATTGACCCAGATCAGTGATGTAATTTTACCGCACGCGCGTCATCAACAAGGCCAAATGTAAACATCGCGGCGAAAGAAAAAGATGCATGCAAAAGTCATGACAGGCACGAGGTATCAATACCGTTATATATAACAACAACATATAGGTAGGAATACTACACTTGCATCATACACGACCTTTGAAAACAATTATTTACGTATAGTATTGCTGTCTTGTCCGCTAGTTGAGTCCGACATGGCTGATAGGCGGCGTGCTATTGTTGTTATCTTCATTGCCTCACTTTCGAAACAACCACGTGACATATATAAATAGATCTGCACTAAATTTACGCGGGGCTTCCCCGAGATTTCAGGGGTCAAAATTGGACATTGCAAGCAGAACTCGACTATCAAATTGCCGTGGTATAACTTTTGGAAGGCCAACTTTTCTTTTTTTTGTATTTTTTTCACGTTTTTATGTTTGCTTACTAATATGGAAACCATTTATTGTGCAACAACAATCTTATACCCTTATACCTGTAATAAATCTCCAAACATTATTGACCTCAACATTTTCATTTTCCCATTAAAAGTAAATAATTCAAGTATAAAATTTGATAAAACTTCGTCTGACGTGAACTTCATCGGAATGCCGTCACGGTCACATGCTTTGCAGACAAGACATTTAATATTCACACCATACACATTTACATCTGTCTAAGATCTACAGCTCTAGACCTCTTTTTTGTCACGCCGATCAGAGCCCACCTACAGCTTATCCTTGTTTACCTGTAACACATAGCAGTTATACGTGTATTGATTCCCATGCAGATAATTGAACAAGAATACGAATAGTTACTACTGTAGAAGTAGTAACACCGTGATGAGATCAGTCTGGACATACAACCACAGTGATATTACTGGTATGTACAAGTTGTTCACTGGTGCTGCCAAGACTCGCTTCCTGGAAGATCCCTAGTCCTCTCGACCCGGCTATAATGCAGCTGGCGTTGCAGTCCTCTGCCGCAGCAAGAATTCCTTTCGATGCACGTGCAGCATGGACGCATTTTATGGTTCCATGGACCTAGGATCAAAATAATTAATGAACATGATCAACATTCCAACACACGTTTACGTATCTTACGTGTATTTAGATAATCAGACTGATATTTATTTCCTAGATTACGTGTAGACTGTACCCTATATTTAGATAGACTGATATTTATTTCCTAGATTACGTGTAGACTGTACCCTATATTTAGATAGACTGATATGTATTTCCTAGATTACGTGTAGACTGTACCCTATATTTAGATAGACTGATATGTATTTCCTAGATTACGTGTAGACTGTACCCTATATTTAGATAGACTGATATGTATTTCCTAGATTACGTGTAGACTGTACCCTATATTTAGATAGACTGATATTTATTTCCTAGATTACGTGTAGACTGTACCCTATATTTAGATAGACTGATATTTATTTCCTAGATTACGTGTAGACTGTACCCTATATTTAGATAGACTGATATGTATTTCCTAGATTACGTGTAGACTGTACCCTATATTTAGATAGACTGATATTTATTTCCTAGATTACGTGTAGACTGTACCCTATATTTAGATAGACTGATATTTATTTCCTAGATTACGTGTAGACTGTACCCTATATTTAGATAGACTGATATTTATTTCCTAGATTACGTGTAGACTGTACCCTATATTTAGATAGACTGATATTTATTTCCTAGATTACGTGTAGACTGTACCCTATATTTAGATAGACTGATATGTATTTCCTAGATTACGTGTAGACTGTACCCTATATTTAGATAGACTGGTATGTATTTCCTAGATTACGTGTAGACTGTACCCTATATTTAGATAGACTGGTATGTATTTCCTAGATTACGTGTAGACTGTACCCTATATTTAGATAGACTGGTATGTATTTCCTAGATTACGTGTAGACTGTACCCTATATTTAGATAGACTGGTATGTATTTCCTAGATTACGTGTAGACTGTACCCTATATTTAGATAGACTGGTATGTATTTCCTAGATTACGTGCAGACGTTAGTCAATATTTAGATAATCAGACTGATATTTAGTTCCTAGATTAAGCAAGAGAACAGTTCAGGAAAATATCTCAGTTTAGATGTTTCGTGAAATCGAAATTTACATTCACGCTTATAATTAGCCCATCACTTCCACTCATTGATCGTCTCACCTTAGCGTCTTTCATCATTACCGCCAGTTCTTGTAACTGACGATTTAGTTCCTGTCTTTGTTTCTCGATATTCCTGGCTGTGACGTCAGCGTCATAGAAACCAATCACTGGACAAAGTGTAGAACACACACAAGTGTATTAACAGAGCTCTTTTATTACATAACTTTATGAATTTGGTTTTCAGCTCAATACCGAAACAATTGTGCAGGAAATGAATTAAAAAAAAGAAAACAGAACAGAAAAACAAGAATTTTGATATGTATGTCAGAGGGACAACAAGGAAAATTGATTAGAGAGGTTAATTATATCGTCATAATGTGATCAATATATTTTTTGAGTTTGCTAGGATTTAAACATCGCAGGCAATACCTTGTACATACTAAGGAATATCTACTTCCTACATCTATAAATAAATAAAGCTATGATAACCTTTCAACCAAAAAGCAAGTGGTGGCTTCATCTTAACAATAGTGCTTCAATGTTATTGAACACCTTCCATTCCTGATGATTGCATTTGCTCTCCTTTTTACAAATGATAGTTTATGGCTGTAAAAGCGTGCGTCATTACTCAGTTTAAAGATCATAATGGGCAGGTCTAACCTAAAACCATCATAATGGGCAGGTCTAACCTAAAACCATCATAATCGGCAGGGCTAACCTAAAACCATCATACTGGGCAGGTCTAACCTAAAACCATCATAATGGACAGGTCTAACCTAAAACCATCATAATGGGCAGGTCCAACCTAAAACCATCATAATCGGCAGGTCTAACCTAAAACCATCATACTGGGCAGGGCTAACCTAAAACCATCATAATGGGCAGGTATAACCTAAAACCATCATACTGGGCAGGTATAACCTAAAACCATCATACTGGGAAGGTCTAACCTAAAACCATCATAATGGGCAGGTCCAACCTAAAACCATCATAATCGGCAGGTCTAACCTAAAACTATCAGACTGGGCAGGTCTAACCTAAAACCATCATACCGGGCAGGTCTAACCTAAAACCATCATAATACGCAGGTCTAACCTAAAACTATCATACTGGGCAGGTCTAACCTAAAACCATCGTAATGGGCAGGTCTAACCTAAAACCATCATAATACGCAGGTCTAACCTAAAACTATCATAATGGGCAGGTCTAACCTAAAACCATCATAATCGGCAGGGCTAACCTAAAACCATCATACTGGGCAGGTCTAACCTAAAACCATCGTAATGGGCAGGTCTAACCTAAAACCATCATAATCGGCAGGGCTAACCTAAAACCATCATACTGGGCAGGTCTAACCTAAAACCATCATAATACGCAGGTCTAACCTAAAACTATCATACTGGGCAGGTCTAACCTAAAACCATCGTAATGGGCAGGTCTAACCTAAAACCATCATAATCGGCAGGGCTAACCTAAAACCATCATACTGGGCAGGTATAACCTAAAACCATCATACTGGGAAGGTCTAACCTAAAACCATCATAATGGGCAGGTCCAACCTAAAACCATCATAATCGGCAGGTCTAACCTAAAACCATCATAATCGGCAGGTCTAACCTAAAACCATCATAATCGGCAGGGCTAACCTAAAACCATCATACTGGGCAGGTCTAACCTAAAACCATCGTAATGGGCAGGTCTAACCTAAAACCATCATAATCGGCTGGTCTAACCTAAAACCATCATACTGGGCAGGTCTAACCTAAAACCATCATAATGGGCAGGTATAACCTAAAACCATCATACTGGGCAGGTCTAACCTAAAACCATCATAATGGGCAGGTCTAACCTAAAACCATCATAATCGGCAGGTCTAACCTAAAACTATCAGACTGGGCAGGTCTAACCTAAAACCATCATACCGGGCAGGTCTAACCTAAAACCATCATAATACGCAGGTCTAACCTAAAACTATCATACTGGGCAGGTCTAACCTAAAACCATCATACCGGGCAGGTCTAACCTAAAGCCATCATAATGGACAGGTCTAACCTAAAACCATCATAATCGGCAGGTCTAAACTAAAACCATCATAATGGGCAGGTCTAACCTAAAACTATCATAATGGACAGGTCTAACCTAAAACCATCATACTGGGCAGGTTTAACCTAAAACCATCATAATCGGCAGGTCTAACCTAAAACCATCATACCGGGCAGGGCTAACCTAAAACCATCATAATGGGCAGGTATAACCTAAAACCATCATACTGGGCAGGTATAACCTAAAACCATCATACTGGGCAGGTCTAACCTAAAACCATCGTAATACGCAGGTCTAACCTAAAACCATCATAATGGACAGGTCTAACCTAAAACCATCATACTGGGCAGGTCTAACCTAAAACTATCAGACTGGGCAGGGCTAACCTAAAACCATCATAATGGGCAGGTCCAACCTAAAACCATCATAATCGGCAGGTCTAACCTAAAACCATCATGATCGGCAGGTCTAACCTAAAACCATCATACCGGGCAGGGCTAACCTAAAACCATCATAATGGGCAGGTATAACCTAAAACCATCATACTGGGCAGGTATAACCTAAAACCATCATACTGGGCAGGTATAACCTAAAACCATCATACTGGGCAGGTATAACCTAAAACCATCATACTGGGCAGGTCTAACCTAAAACTCTCATACTGGGCAGGTCTAACCTAAAACTATCAGACTGGGCAGGGCTAACCTAAAACCATCATACCGGGCAGGTCTAACCTAAAACCATCGTAATGGGCAGGTCTAACCTAAAACCATCATACTGGACAGGTCTAACCTAAAACCATCATAATCGTCAGGTCTAACCTAAAACTATCATAATGGACAGGTCTAACCTAAAACCATCATAATCGGCAGGTCTAAACTAAAACCATCATAATGGGCAGGTCTAACCTAAAACCATCTAAGCTGTACTATAGCTAGACTTGAATGATATTTGAAACATGCTGTTGTCCGCAAATATGTCGATTACCGAAATCATAAATGATGTATGGTTATTATATTACTGTCAAGGTAACATGGGTTTCTTTCCCACTTTGAACAAGTTCCGGATGCCTGGAATATTAACGTTTTTGATCCGTTTATTTTCATGCAAGAGAGTTGTTATATAATAGAAAAGAAAGTGTTGAATACTTTTTTAAAGAACTACATTTCTCTTGGTTACTTTTGCTTATGTCATATTTGGTTTGCTATTAAAACAATATCACTATGCGAAAACCAATTTTGAATATTTTACTACAAATATCCTAAATAAATTAGCTGGATAGTATCCACGAATTCAAACTGGAGCTATAACACAATTATGAATTAGGTTGAAGACAAAACTACCATTTAAAGATGCTATGATGGGCTTTCTCATACTGCATGTTGGCACTCTAATAATTGTTGGATAAACAAATGCCCTCGTTCCTGGCGGTATAGCTGGTAGCTCTGACGTAACGGGCTACTTACGGCTGCACCACTGCGCTGACGTAAAGGCATCCCTGATGTGTACTACCGTCACCAACACCGCGTGATCTCCGGGGCGGTGCAAGTTATCCACATACCCTGTATACAAAGAAAGTCAAATATATAGCTATATCTTACACACTTAAAGCAACAATGGGTCTACGGCTAGCGCTTGCGATGTGTTGGCTCAGAAAGCCAACACATTTAAATGTTTTAATTTTTAATTTTAACGTCGACTTATTTGATAAATTGAAATAGATATTTAGCAAATATTTTGAAACTTGCGTTAGGAATACTTAGAGCTATAATGGTTTATGACTGATCCTGTTACGCTACTGTGTAATTTAGCTGGTAAAACCTTTATTTCTGATGCAGCTGTAAACTGACTATCCTCCCCGACCAGATCGATCTGCACATTACAGCAGACTTCGCTCTATTCCTCGGTGCGTTCACGCGTAATGGCCCACAACGCGGTGCAGCCACTCCATCAGGTCCACCAGTCCCGTCTTTGTATATCAACACCGGATATTCATGTTTATACCAGTTGAAGGCGTTTTGTAATCTGCTATTATGTTTGTCTTTATATGTGTTCCGTCTTTTTTTACTATCTAAACAGGATCAAGTAGCAGGCAAAATGCACTTGTTACGTTTTTGAATTGAGCATCAGTGGTGTTTATAATTTAGGCATGATGGATCTATGATATTATAGTGAGTGTAAATAATGTATCCACAGGGCTTGTGAATTGTACATGATGCTTCGTGGAATTATTGAATTGTACATGACGCTTTGTGGCATTTGTGAATAGAAAAAGTGTATCTATATTGGGTGTTCATGATGTACTGATAAATGATATTTGTGAGCATACTGTTTCCGTTGGGTTATTTGGATATAGACTTGTATTCGACTGAGCTATCCTAACCACGCAATAGGTTAATGAAACATCATCAATATCGTTTTATGATTCTAGTTTTGTTAGGTAATCGGCTGATGTAAAAATACTAATTTAATTTCATATGTGAAAAATGTTTGTGTACAAGCAAAACAAGAAATTATGAATAAAATGAAACTCATGAGACATCTATTTTACAAATAGGATCTTATATACTATTGTTAATTCTACAATATATATCCTATACTGTACATCATGTAATGTGCTAAATCCAATTAGGCGACCGGTTGTGATCGATACTAGTTCTTCTGAAAAACGTAGCGATTGTAAACATTACTATAGTCTTCCGATAGACGGAAATGAAGACTCTTACACGACCTTGTATATAAACAATTGTATGTTCTAATATTCTTTTTAAAGATATAGATACCCGCTGTTGGTATTTTAATATATTATTTACATGCATTTCTTGTTGTAATGTATAAAAGACAAATTTACAGCGTATGAAAGTATGATTAGGTAATGGAATTACATTGCTGATGCCATAAAACAACCATTAAAATAGATACATGTACATATGCATGAACACAATGAAACACGATTGGGAATCCTTTATCTACAATATAGGAGATCACATTATGACTTTACTAATTTGAAATATATAATTACGACTAAACATGCATAACTACGGTCAGTTCAAGATTAAAATATATCGATATTAGAAAATATGGTAATTAACTAGCCACATTTTCCCGCAAACACGCGTCCATGAATGGCAGGATAGACAGAACCCAGTGTGTGACAGACGAATGAGAGAGGAAGTGCCGTTCGTGATAGTTTGGAGATAGAAGAGCATAGATATTATATAATACACAATTGTTATTGATACAAGATATAGGCAAAGTATAGCTAGAAATCATCTAGTTCGGACAGGTGACCAGTGTAGTGTATCTAGCACATTTTATAGAAAAAAACCTCATTTGTGATACAATGTGCAGACCATCCACGATACTCCAGGGGTTACCCTAACTTTAACCTGGTATCGAGGATGTGTGTAGACAGTCCACGCAGCAATTTGCGGGTTGTTTTTGTATTTCTTACTAATTTGTTTGTTGAAATCGCGAAAATAATATTCCAGTTATGGACCAATATGTGCATTCAAATACATATTCTTGAACGTCAGTTGATTTGATTTTATCTTTGACGAACACATAAAAAACAAACAACAACAACAACAACAACAACATAAAACAGAGAATGTTTTACGGTGGTGAACTAATAACTTGTACATTGGAAGGGATTTGTAATATTAGATAGTTTGCAGAGTCAATACATGTACTTTTGTAGAATGAAATCTGGAGCAGAATCTGTGTGCTTTGAAAACATTTTAGCACATTCCATCTTTTAAGGTATTAAGGATGTAGTTATGAAACACTTGTATGTAACATGTATGAACCGCTTGTATGTAACATGTATGAACCGCTTGTATGTAACATGTGTGAACCGCTTGTATGGAACATGTATGAACCATTTGTATGTAACATGTATGAACCATTTGTATGTAACATTGTGAACCGTTTGTATGTAACATGTGTGAACCGCTTGTATGTAACATGTATGAACCATTTGTATGTAACATGTATGAACCATTTGTATGTAACATGTGTGAACCGCTTGTATGTAATATGTGTGAACCGCTTATATGTAGCGAGTATGAATCACTTGTATGTATCATGTATGAACCATGTGTGTGTAACATGCATGAATCACTCGTATGTTAAATGTATGAACCTTGTGTACGTAACATGAATATATGCATCATGTATGAACCACTTGTATACAGTGTGTATAAAACACTTGTATGTATCATGTGTGATTCACTTGCAAGTTTACAAGTTTATTGTTTTTCCTCAGATACATTAAAATGTACAACATGAGGTATCAGAGTATAATAATACACATGTTTCTCCTCAGATACATTAAAATGTACAACATGAGGTATCAGAGTATAATAATACACATGTGATGAAAAAATGGATGGCAAGTACACAAAAAAGTAATCATGATACATATTACAGCAGTTTGTTATTTTTTTCCAACAAAAGACAAATACCATTTAATACAGTCGTGTTACAAAATGACAACGGACCACTCATTTTAATTTGAGAGGGATTATTTCTATAATACAAAAGGAATACGTTTTTCTCTAAGCTCTACAATTATTAAATTTGTTCATTCGAATATATAATGAAATTCGTCGCCTAGATCATTTTTACATAGAGTGCATTTCGGTCCTGTTTTTGAATATTATGCCACCTACCTGTTTCAATGGGAAATTTCATATCAGAACATCTATATTTGCATAATATTGACCTGTTTTTTGTCAGAAAGACGAATCAAATAGGGCTCAAGTTCATGTTACTTCTTAAACTTACCATAGAGTTCACCTCGAGATGAATTTTGAATGTTTGCATGCCATCTTTGTAAAAATTGATCAATAAAAATTAGTCTGACAGTGTTTTTAATATAATATTTACTAATAGGTTCCTGTTTTATAAAAATAGAACTTTGTCCGACTTCATCAAAACACATTTTTATATATTCTAACCATTTAAACTTACACAAATTATTGGCTTGAAATTTGAACATAAATCTATACATGTGGCAACTAAGTTTAGAGGTATTCATTAAGTCATCATTCTCAACTTAACAGGTATCTCAAGAGGATATTGACCTAATTCACAATAAATCATAAAGTTTGGAGTTGAAGTTCGCAGGCCCAAAATTCATCTGCAAAATTTCAAATGAGTGTGTTCTACCATTTTGATATTTTCGTAACCCCATATTACAATATAAGACTTAACTAGGGTATGACATAATTTAATGTTTCAAGTCTATTGGAAGATGTTGATTTTTTATATTACGATACACAGAAAAAATGGATTTTTGGGCATGTTCACAAAGCTTCCGTTTACATTTCGAAAAGCTACCATTATAATTAAATGTCACTCCCAGATAGCTAAAATTGTCCACTTCTTCTATAACTTGACCGTTAATTCTAAATACATGGTTAGCATTAGATTTGCGTTTACAGAATACAAGTATCTTTGTTTTCTTCACATTATCTTCTAAGTAACATGAATGAACCTTTTGTATGTAGCTTGTAATAGTTGTAGGTGTATTGTATGAACCAATTGTATGTCCGAAGTATGAACCCACTAAGGAAAATATTTAAGCTAAATATCATTACATTGCAGTTCACATTTCACACCGAGAATTCTAAAACTACCAATGACAAACAACAGCTATATCTGGCCTTCAATCATGGAATTGTTGAAGTATCAGAAACCATACACAGAAATAAATACTCGGAATTATCAGCAAGGCGGAAATCATTTTGTTTGTCTGCAGTGTCATCATAGGTTTACCATTATCTATGCTATACCATTGCTTTGGGTATTCAAACATCGCTTGTTACAAACCATGAGAGAGCATGATGTCAATTTCTGTAACAATGCAACACCCGTATTAAGACATACTCAAATGGAATTTTATACACCACTTAAAACAACTTACATTGGAATGCTTTCTTTGCGTTGGGACTGGAATCTATTGCTATGACGACTGTCCGCCTCTGTCCACATTTCTCCTCCATCTTTACTGTAGGTTCGCCTGACCAGCGCCCGTTGATATGTACGAGATGGGGGGTTACGATAGTGTTTACCTGTACCTTTGTTAGTGGTACTATCCTCCTCTCCTCTTCTGTCTCTCCTGTTACGGAAATACATAGTTAGGCTGCGGTAAACACCCGCCACAATCGATATGTAGTAAATATACTTGTTTATACTTAGAATTCAACGATTGGGGAGATCAGTCGATGCTTATGCATTCTATGTAATACCACGGCATCAGATAAGTCCCTGGTAAATACATACATAATTATAGCGACAGTCGATATTTTATTTCAAAATAAATAAATAAACAATTGAATAAAGAAATAAAGATCTCGTCTGTTCGAACGAAAACTAAGTTAAAAGTGGGAGTTGAATTTTATAAAGATGTCTTTAATGGTTTACTGTACAGCTCGGACATTATATCACTAAATATTCTGCACTCGTTTGAAATACATGGTACTGCGCACTGCACAGTTTCTGTGGGTAATGCATGTACTTGTTGGAATTCCGGTTTCATGAAGATAACCGACCTACGAACTGTGTACCTGATTCTAGTACCCTCTACCCCCAATCCCCACCCCCTACACACACACACACACACACACAATGCACACTCTACCCTGCACTAACTATGTATTATGTGTCCTGTGCCCTCTACCATGTATCCTCTTTATTTGTAGATTATGTTACTCTCCGCTTTAAACCGACATGGAATTTGAAGCATCACCGAAATGTTATCATCGACATCAGCGAATATTTACCGTAGTGTATGAGGAGCGGTCAGCCGGTAAATGTCAGCAGCTCTTAGATCGCATCTCATCATCATAAACGTAGCCAAGGTCAACGATAAACAATCACTCTTAGTGGTCAGCGGCCTTATAGTCCACTCACTGATATTAATTCTGATGATGGTCAGATACAAAATAAAAATTAGAGGGTAGTAGGTACGTTTCCGGACAGGGGCGTAGCTGCCATGTACACAAATAGGCATGCACATCAACAAATCTGCATTACTATTTAATTTCTAACCATAGCATGTGTTAAAATATAATTCACTATATATGTACTTATGAATGGTTCTTAAATTTAATGCAAAGTTTGTTAACTTTATATGTCGGTGTTTACTCTAATATGTTCCATACGTTAGAATCAATCTCTAGACAGTGTTGAAATCATAATAAGAATACCCTGTCGTTGTCAATAACATATAGATTCGTCCATAATATCATCACATCATCATACTGGTCCGAAGTATGATTCAATGTTTGTACGATCACGGACTTAGATAGCAAACGATTTGGCTGAATTGATCATCGGTATTGCGTATTTACAAGCTAAGGTACTGGGTGCCACTAGATGGCTACACAGAATTGTCGGGGATGTGAGTAGGGTGGTGATGATCACATGATGAACATTCACATCATTTACCACTGACCAGCTACACGCGCGTGTCCGGATCAAAGGCTTGTTTTCCCTCCGAAATCATTATTGCTCAGAGATCATTAATTGGTTTCTCTGATGCTGTAAATGATAACGGTCTTGATCTCCCAAAAGTCGGAGGGTAATCAGAGACGTATATACACGTGACTTTGGTGATGTAACGCTCTTTATACCCATTACGTCATAAACAAATCATGTTTCTTTCAGCTTCTTTGTGAGGTATTTAAAGTACGTTACTACGAACAGTTCCAGAACCTACAAGTGCCGTCAAGAATTGTTGTATAGACAAACAGGGGGAATTGAAATCCAGAAACGCTATGGTGCCATTTGCGTGTTATTAGAGTGTAATTTAGCGTTTTAACTTTTTTTTCTCTAATATATGTCATTTCAATATAAATGATTTAAATACTTTATATTTAGCATTAAAAAAAATCAAGAGGAAAAATTAAATTGATATTTCATTATGATTAAAAAAGTGAAACGGGGACGAAAAAAGACACTGCCAGACTTTGAGAGGTGATATTTCTTATTATTTCCAACAAATAACTTACTACATAATAATGATGTATGACAATTTTCAAACAACATGTACATGCCCTAAAAAAATGACCCAACACCGTAGCAATATTGTCATCGATTAGATACTTTAAAAATTATGTATAGATAATAATCAGAGGCACTGTGTTTTTTATAAATGTCTTGAGGATATCTTGCATAAAATTAGCCTGTTTTTCTGTAAACTATATATATCATACCTTTTTGCTTATCAAATTGGCGTCTTAAATAAAAATAAAAACATGATACCAGTGAGGTGTGATACTGTGTTGATATTTTTTATGTTCAATTGTAGATCAATACCGAAGCACCTGATATATGACAAAAATGAAAGAAATGTGGTGTATGGAATGAAGGGTGTGTACAAAAAAAAAATCGAAAAAAATCAGGTACACTAAGTCGTTTGGTTTGTGATTATGCTGATACTCAGATTTGAGAATATAATGTATTATTAGTCATTGCATTTTCAACCATATTCTAATTTATTTTGAGATATCTTCAATGGGGAAGTGGAATCATATTTGTTGATTTGTATACATGGCTGCTCATGTGCACACATGTGTACACACACCTATATACATGTAGTGTACAAGTGCTACATGTACACATGTATTTGTTTACGGACATGTTTACATGAGTGAGCTACAGACCTATATATAGTGTTAGAAAAATAAGGGTTGATTACTAACAACAGGTGTATATATATAAAAATGCTTGTTTGTATGTGTGTGTACATGTACACATGTTATATGTACACCTGTATTACCGGTAGTTCGATATATGGGATGGGTGCATGCATAAGCATAAATGTATGTCTGGACTTGTATCAATACGTCAAATGTAAAAAGAGCAAGAGTACATGTTAATGGCTAATAGGTAATTATACACATGTGAACAAGAGCAGTATATGTGTTTGTTAATAAAAAAACTTCTGTTTTTGTAGATGTACGTTCGTACGCATGTGTACATGTGATTTACGCATACTATGTACACCTGTAATGTATCTGCAGATGTGTATGCATATGTACACATAGTTTACTTATCTGTAAATGTAAGAAAGTAATTACATGTATTTAAATTGACATAGGTGTAGCTGATTGCTTATACTAGTGTTTATTGCTATATATATATATATATATATATATATATATATAGCTAATAGGTATGTATATTTACACATATGTGTACGAATGTAACTACGTACTAACTCACTAACCTGTTTATGAATAAAACATAAACTCAGTATGGATATACATATATGGTCATATATCATGTACATATGTGTTATTCATGTGTAGACTGTAATATGTAATTGCAGGCATGCCACATGTGTACATATATGTAAAATATTTTAAGATTAAAATTTCAATATCACCAGGAATAGATACAAACATTATCATGTGTAGCCAGTGAGTAGATATTTGTGTGATTTTTTCTTCACATATGAATTAGTAGAGTAGATATATGTATGATCTGTAAAAGCAGGTTCACGTGTGCATATGGATATGGTTGGATCTATATGTATATAGGTAAAATGTAATAAGAATGTATGTAAGTTTTAATTATCTAAATGAATTGGAAACAGATTGGAAACAGTTAGATATTTTTGTAGTAATATCTATTAACAATAGTTATGAAAATGGTGAATTATCTGTAACTCAAAAACAGGACATAATTACTTGTTTACCAAAGGGAGACAAGCAACGTCAATTCCTAAAACACTGGAGACCTATTTCTCTTTTAAATATAGAATATAAGATAGCTTCTGGAACAATAGCAGGTAGAATAAAAACAGTCTTAGATAAACTTATTAATACAGATCAAACAGGTTTTATTTCTGGGCGATAGATTGGGGAAAACACCAGGTTAATCTATGATATAATGCAATTTACAAAGGAAAATAAAATATAATAATAATAATTATATACAACATTTGATATAGCGCCCTATCTAGCTAACATAAGCCACTCTAAAGCGCTTTACAGTACATAGATATACAGTTAATAAAATTAGCATATTAATTAAATTTTTTTTTTAGGAATTCGCAGGAGCTGCTTTATCAGGCGCTAGCTACTAGTCCTATGCCACCTGGCTAATATCTCCCTATGTATGTATGCCTGCGTGTGTGTTGGAGATGTATTGTGTTCTGTTTTGTAGTGGGACCGTGCTTCCAACGGCATCTTTTATAGTGCCACCTCGAATGCTACAGCACAGATACCGCAACATCCACCCCAGACCATTTTATACTCCACCTGGGTTGTTGGAGTTGTGTGAGCAGGAGAAAAACACTTTCTCTAATATTCCATGCGTACTACGACTCCGAGGATCTAACCCCGGTCGTCTGCGTGGAAGGCCTAAGTGTTAACCACTCGACCAATCCACCTATATACCAGGGATGTTATTCATGATAGACTTTGAAAAAACTTTTGATTCTGTATCCTTGAAATTTATTGATGAAGTATTGGATTTCTTTAATTTTGGACATAGTATTAAAATATGGGTAAAAACTTTTCAAAAAAACTCTAATTTGGCAATTATTCAGTGGGGAATCTATCAAAATTCTTTGATATAAAAAGCGGTTGCCGACAAGGTGATCCGATATCACCTGATATTTTCATCCTCTGTTCGGAAATTTTGGCAATCAATATAAAAAATAACAAGAATATCAAAGGTTAAAAAGTACTTGAAGATGAACAACCTATTTTACTTTCACAATATGCTGACGACACATCTTTAATTCAGGACGGATCAGAAACATCACTTAGAGAATATATAAAAGAATTGAAAAACGTTGAAAAAAAATCAGGATTAAAAATGAATTTGGGAAAAACCGAAGTAGTTTGGATAGGGAGTAAAAAAATAGTGATGAGGTTATGGCTAATGAATGGAATTTACAAGGTTTACACTTCTGGACATTGATTTTCATGTTGATCTACATCGTATTCCAAAAATAAATTTTGATAAAAAAAACTAGTAAAACTTAAAGCTTTGATGAAGACTTGGAGTAGGAGAATACTTACACCAATAGGGAGAATAAATATAATAAAGTCTATCCTAATTTCTCAATGTAATCACTTATTTATCGCTTTACCAAATCCTAGTAATACATTTATCAAAAAGATAAATACAGAAATATATAACTTCTTCTGGAATAGTAAGATTGATAAAATAAAAGAGATGTAATTATTAAAAACTTTTCTGATGGTGGTCTCAAAAACCTTCATATTAAATCATTTGTAGACTCATTAAAAAACCTTCTTGTAAATTGTGGATCAGACTATATTTCCTTTTGTCATACTAACTGTAAAAATCTTTTCTGGAAAGATATCTTTCTTGCGTGGAAAAATCATACTATTCTTGAGGAAAAATAAACAGATCTCTGACATGCCTATATGGTTTAACGAAAAAAATCAAAATAGATAATAATAGTGTATTTTATAAGGATTGGTATAGGAAGGGAGTTGTAGTAGTTAATAACTTAAAAAAGGATAACAACAACTTCCTCAGTTTTTTTGAATTAAGAGAAATATATGGTGTTAGAGCAAATTTCTTACTATAAAGGAGCTTAGCAGTCGGTCTAACTTGACCCATCCAAAAATAGACTATCCTTTTATTCCAAGAAAATTACAAATATTTGCTAAAAAACAGAAAGGTGCAAAAGATTTTTATAATGTGCTTAGTAAAAATGATATAATTGCAAGTGGAACAATAAAATGGGATGAACAATTTGAATTTGATAAAGGTGATTGGAAAATGATTTTTAAACTCCCTTTTTCTGTAACAAAAAGTATAAAATTGCAATGGTTCCAGTTTACGGTTAATCACCATATTCTAACAACATTTTCGTATCTATTTAAAGCTGGGTTAGTAGACAGTCCTTATTGAAACATTTGTAAAATAGAAATTGAAACGATAGAGCATACGCTATGGAACTGTGAAAAAGTTCAAACTTTACTTGTAAACTTAGAAAATTTGTTGAGTTCACTGTTCATTCCATTTGAATTTAATAAGAAATCTTTTCTTTTTGGTACATATCGTCAGAATGGAATAAACAGAAAAGTGGATAATATGATCATCTTTACAATAAAACAATATATCTACAAATCAAGGTACCTCAAGAATGAACTCTGCATTATTGCCCTGAAAAATACACTTAAAGATACATATACATGTACAACTCAAAAATACATTGCTAGAAGTAAGGTAGAAAGCTACTTAAACCAGTTTCAAAGAGAATGGGCCAAATGGCAAAACTTATTTTGAAACACCCAAACTGATTTACCATAAGTAACTTATCAATTTATAAATATAATTGTTATATTGAGTAAATGTAAATATTGATTACGCTCACACTGACAGCTAGCTTACAGAGAATTTCAAAATGTAATACAAATTGCTGGTGTAAAAGCCCGGTCTGGCTACAAAACTTTCATTATTTTTATCACTTTAATTTCAAATAAATTTCAAATAACTATTTCAATATCAATCCAATTTTGATGGGATTCAATTATTTTTATTCTGTATGCAACCTAACGTTAGCTAAGAATAATTTATCTATAAAAACTATCAAAAATCATGAGTTCAGTTCTAAACATTAGAAGGCTTCAATTTCATAAAGTATCCCTACCAAAACCGTTAACAAAAAAAAAAAAAATCTGAAATGTAGGGCAGGTCAAACAACGTGTAATAATTGGATAGATTGTAAATAATTAACGGTCTTAACTTAATAAATCATTCTTTGTTCAAAAATACCTATTATCAGTTTTATTGACCGATTAACTACATCTAATTGATATAATACATGTGTCATCTTGTTTTCTTTTGTCCTTATTAGTCCAGAACGTCGTTATCGCCTAATTAGTTGTTATTTGTCAGGTAATCATAACGCCTAGCGGTTGCGTATCCGCTCTGTACAGCACCAATCAAACGCGCCCAAGATTCAAACCCACGTGATCACACAGCTGATTGCCGTAAATGGTGGGAGGTCATAAAGCTTGGCGGTTCATTTAAAACAGTCACAACATCTACAACTATAACAAGATGTCTACAAATCTGAGAAAGTCGTTCCGCTTATCGTGGCTGCCAGGCAAAAAGTATAACGTTTTAGAAGGAAAAGAAAATATGTATTTCAACACACCAAAGTACAAGCGTGCCATTTCCGAAGGAGATATTCCGACACAGCGCCACGCAATCCATCCATTGAAAAACCGTGGAAACCAAAAACCAAAGTTTGAAAGGAATTCAACTCTTACGAAGTCAGTTCGCGAAGCTGTCGGTTCTTTGAAACAGGTAAAAAATCATTGTATTCTTTTCGATTTTTATGGTGTTCATCATACCATTTGCGTATCAATAAATCATTATTGTGATTGATCACCTGTCTGTTGACAATCAATAACGACGCATTGTTTACGTTTCAAACATGTTGGAATACGATGTTTAATGTCAATGTATGTTATTTTTATATTTCAAATTTTCAAATATATAACAGTCATCGTCAGTAATATTTGAATGTCATTTTTTTCGGATGAGTCACCAAATTCTTTCACATTTTAGGCGGCATACACGCATCTAATTCAACTGACAAAAAGTTGTCTCGTTCTGTCCAGTGTAAGATCATTTGTTTTACTTGAAACAACAAGCGCCCCTGTGTTTGGCTTGTAATGTTTTGATAACCTGGTCTCCGACTGGTGTTTATCTAGCAGCTTATCCAAACAGGAATGTCAAGTGACAGCTTATCCTGATGTATACCGAAACAAGTTTTTGCTTCATGTTAAGATGTTATATTATTCCTATAAGCATTAAACAATCATTACTAACATGTACTTAAGTTTACATGCAACACTGTGCTTACAAATTGTAGAAAAAATGGACATATATTTCAAATTCTGACAGATAAAAATACATTGCACTTCGCAGAATTCATTGACGTGAATTTGAAGGCCATTATGTAGACAAGATAATGACTACAATATGTAACGTCAGAAGTACAGGCCCATAAACCCAGTTATCAGTCTCTCAATCTAAATCCCGGCTTTATGTCTCCAGAGAGAAACCCTGGAGTCATGCCAACTCTGATCCTAAAACCTGTGAGTCATGTACATTATATGCCTATAGTACTTCCCGCTCAAATTCAAGGGTTGTTATTACCAAATACCATAGTGACACCTTTTAGTATGTAACTCCGATGTTATAATGGCAAATGTCAGGGCTCACTTGTCACCTAAAGTGGTGGGATGTACATTTTTGAAAGATGCCATTTGATTTGACATTTTTGTCATGGGAGAATAAACATGAGATAAATTTTAGCATTTGCAAATATATTAATTACAAAGGAATAATTTTGTCTATTTACTCCAGATAACTTGTTTAAAAGATTGGACTATTCTTATTTTATGTAGCCACAAGAAGAAAAATTCAATTGTAAAATTTATGACAATGTATGAATAAATTCCAACTGCAGAAAAAAGGGCTTAAACTCTGGTAATCAAAAATGAATCTAAATACTGCTAGCTGTTTAAAGGTGATAATATAAAAAAAAATGTTTTGTTTGAAAACGATCAACTTTATGAAGGTACCCACCTCTTTCCCTTTTTTAAATCTTCTCCTATGGAGTTTGGCAACATTTAATTTCAACCAAAGTTTGAGTGTCCCCTTGCAAAATAACATACAAGAACTAGAGTTGGTCCTAGACACCACTGTAACAGGTGAGGGAACATGATCCGGGCCAGACTAGGCTGGGGTGGAATTAACTGCTGGTCCACTAACCTGTGGCCAGTGGTTTTCTGGGTGGACAAGTAGGTTATTCAACAAGCTATCCCACAGGGCCAGTAGATATTTTGTAAATTATCTAAAATTTCAGCAGGTTTGAAAAGCGTTATTTTAAGTCCAGAATGCACCACACAGGTATCAAGTCCCTTTGGCGCCCTCTCAAGTGTCCAGCACTTGTTTTCTGGACTAGTGCACTTCAAACAGGACCAGTGAATTTTTAATGGACCTTTGGGCCAGTTACCCTTTTTTTTAATTCTACCCCTGCTATGGGATTTGAATCCAATAACCAAGACAGATGCCAGAGCTCTTACCATCTATAAAATATAGCTATGTGTTCACTGATGTAGAAATCACCCAATCCATGTTGACTTTTTGAAAGTTGATTATTATTATTTTAACAGTTACAATTATGTAACCTTTCAATATTCTTTTATTTAATATCTCATTTTGTATAATTTTAGAAATTTCGTTTATCAACAAGAAAGTTGAAGAGGTTGACTAATGATACAAAGAGTCCATCACCTACAAAAGGTGTTCGTCATGGTAACCGGACATCAGGAAGGACACCACCCCGTCCTGCTCATCATGATGTGAAGATGTACTCCCCGTTTGTGATTGACACACCTAGCTCAAGTCGTACACCTACCAGGTTACGTACTTCTACATCTTCGAGATGGTAAGTCGGAGTACACAAATTACTTTTTGTTGGATTTTGGTCGAGAACTTAAATTTCCAAGTAAGTTCGCATTCTCTTTGTTAAGAAATTAAACAAAACTGCCAAAAGTTCCTTGATTTAGTTTGATGAAAAATATAATAATTGAAAAAGTTATAATTTGACATACTGAAGCAAGAAAGATTTAACTATATTAGATGTGTATGCATGGTCACATACTTTAAAAGTTCACCTTTAAAATGTAGCATTTTTCTTGCATAAAATATGTAATCGACAGTTATCTTATTTACTATGTTTAGGTTCTGTAATGAAATCATATTTTTTAAAATGTTTTTTGAAGAACCAATTACCGTACATATTGATACATTGCATTTAAATAAAGTGTTATAGAGTTAAATTTGATTTTTATCAGGACGGACAACATGGAGACCCCCACACGCCTGCGTAAGGAGGTAGAGGCTCTCACCTCCAACATGCAAGCCCTAGCCACCCTAACTCCAGGGGGGCTGCAGCAGAGACCCAAAACAAGGTGGGTTTCACATTTAATAACATGGTTAGGTTCTAAGGCCAAAACAAAATAAGGAATAGTTCCTATCCTAAACTTAAAATTCTGTATGCACTTTTTAAAAGGCCATGTTAAGATTATGAAAGACAAAGCATTGAATAGGAGGGTCAGATTTTATTTTATATGTTAAGGATTAACTCCTTGTTATCAATAACTGAAGGGAAATCAATTTAAGTAAGCTAGACACAGCCTCTGACCCAGTCAGTGTGAAATATTAATTCTAAAAATAGAAATATATAATTAACATGTAGGAACCAAACTTCTCAAATGAATCACTAATACAGTTGCATCTGCTAGAGAGCTCTCTCCTATAGATATTGAGCTATTATTTCTCTTTCAGTCGACCATTTTTACATCTCCATAAAACAGTTTACACTATATTACTGAAATACTCTATTAACAGACCGGTTTTTTTAGTTCAAAACTAAGAGTCTTACTTTGGGAGGTCTCCTAATACTGATCTTACTATATCTGAACATATTGTGATTTTTAGACGATCAACAGTTTCTCCACTGACAAATGGCAGCTTGAAGATGCGCCCACTAGGTGAGCGGAGTAGCGAGAGGATACAGACCAGGCAGCAGCGAATAAGGACGTCAGCACTGGTGTACTGAGTCTGTGAACAGAAGGACATCATCACTGGTGTACTGATCTTGAGTCAGTGAACAGGACACCAGCTTTAGTGTACTGAGCTGTTGAACAGGACACCAGCTCTAGTGTACTGAGCTGTTGAACAGGACACCAGCTCTAGTGTACCGAGATGTTGAACACAGACATTTCTGGTGCATGTTGTCGAATCTCCACATTACAATAGTGCCATCACATGTAGCTTGCTACATACAACTTACAAACTGGACATTTGCTTTGTCAAGTGACGTGGTGCTAGCTAGAAACTTGAGGTATCAAGACAAGACTTTAAAGGTTATAAGTGAAGACAAACAATACTTTCAAAATTGACAATGTGTTTTAATTTGTCTATAAGCACTGTATTGTAAAACATCTAGAAGTACTCTTTTCCAGGTCTAGGTTTATTGATCCTGTAGCTAATATTATTATTTGTATATGCTAATAGCCCTTAATATGGACTTTGTAAAGTATTTAATTTTGAATAATGTTAGTTTTGATTGGGTGTGAACTGATGAGTGGAGTTGATTATATTTTTCTTTCCTACATCTTCAGTTCGAAAAGTGAAATGTAGTTATACGCATTACATATGGCACGTTAAATGAAAGGCCAGTGCTACATAGGTAGCATGCTTGCTTGTTAGTGATTTTGTTTTAGTCCCAGCAGTGTTTTTAATCTTTGACCTCGACACACTTGCCAGTCTTGATATTTGATATACATGTGTATTGTACCTGTTATTTTGTCCTGTAATGGCCACACCATTGAAGTGGTTTTTGTTAAACTCTACTGAAATGGATTGAATATTTTGGCATTTTCTTCAAACCGGTAATTAGTATATGTCTGTTTGAAGTTTTTTTAGCAGAACTTTAAGGTTTTTATGACATCTACCTTTCATGTTCATTTTAGATAAAAAAAAAAAATGATTTCGAAATTACCTGATAAAGATTTCATCTTTACATGATTTATACATTGTAAGCTACACCATTGATGTAAATAACCAGGCTTCTTGGTTATGTAGAACTTACGTGTTACGGTTGTAATTTGTTTGTTTTCACGTCGTTGTGTTTCCAACTTTGAACACTTTTGAATATAATGGAGAGGAATGCACATTACAGTTAGATGCTTGTTTTTGTAAAATGGACAGCCATCCACCCTATAACCCTCTACCTATACCCAGTATTATCAGTATCTGTAACCAATATACATACCTTTCTCCGTTTTTTTTCTACTGCTGTCTTTCCTTTTTCTACATTTTCTGTGTAAGTGATAAATTGTCTAGCGTAATACAAAATATTATTAACCCTACAGCAAGGCAAAGATGGGGATGGGTGGGGTATACTGAAATAGGGGTCTCAGGCTGTCCTTTGTCCGTAGACAAACGTTTGTCCTAAAGCAGTACATTTGAAACTGGGTCCTAATGAATGGAGAATTTTGACTTGTTTTAACGTTTAATGGTAAAAATATAGAAATTTTACAATAGGATCTTACAAGACGATTTAAGTTTTTAGTACTGCATAGATTTGTGAAAACCTATACACTCTAGCAGTATTTAAAGTGGAACTTGATAGATATGCAAATTATTATTTATTTCAGCCTTTTTTCACCCTTTACCCTTTTCAAAAAAAAAATCCATACAAGTTACAACTTCTTTTAAGGTATAGGTACTGCACATAGGTTTCATTGAAACTTAATCAGTATGTAATATAGTTGTTAACTATACCTGTTAATTTCTTCATGAGGAATGGTTTTTATTATTCCATGTATTGAACCAAAGTGTAGTCCTAATGATGTGTGCTGTTTTAAGTGTGAGACTAACAGTCCTAGTTTTGAATGTATCTAATTCTGTCATTAATTCATTCTTATATATCTACAATAATGTAAAATCTTGAAAACAGTCAGATAAAAGATATATATGTAGTTACAGTATGGTTGGTTAGTAGCATCAAGTTTGTTTAAAGTTTTCCCATCTGACCTTTCCTGTCATTTTGTCATTCACTACAGATCCTTTTTTCCAATACTGCATGTAAATTAGGCTACTCTATTAAAATACTCGTCCCTGGAGATATACTTTTTTTGTTGTTTTGTGAAATTAGTGTATTCCATATAAGATATTTTGACAGGCTAACAAGTGAACAAAATGTCGTTTTTCTTTTTCGTGTAGTACAGGACATATCTTTTAATGTATTTAAAAATCAAGGATTTTCTTTTTTGACCTTCCCTAGAGTTGTAGTCAATATATACCAAGGTACATACCACAACCAAGCCTTCTTCATTTCCGTTGATTGAATGAGCTGCATCAATACTGTGACAAGTCTAACTAAATATTAGCTTTACAACTTTTTACAGGCCCAAACTGGCAATTATCTTGAGAACTTTCTTTCGTGGTATTTAGAGAACGTACAATAATTTGATAATGAAAAAAATGACTATGTTGCTTTATTTGTTTTTTGACAGAGGGGGGATATTGCTAAAAGCAAGTAGGAACTTATCTTCAAATTTTGACATTGAAAGTTGAATATTATTCATTACATATTGAGTAACATGATAAATCATTCGACCTCTGTTCGGTCACCACACTCTATTGGGACCCCAGTTCTGGGTAATTCTTTACTCACATTGTAGCAATATTTGTTATATATATTAAAAGGCTGTACAATAAAGCCGTCTGTTGACAATAGATGCTTGTGTTTATTTTTATTTGTTGGACCACTGAATTTTGAAAGACTTCTTCATTTATTGGTTGTGATCATGTATGGTAGTTAAGATATCAAAGGGTGTGTGGCTCAGATCATCCCAACCCCACGGATCTTATATGTGCAAAAGTAAGTTGAAAGGAAATCGTGAATCGAGTATGAGCTTTCTCTGGTGATCAAACCCACGACACCAGTCTTTCAAGTTGGAGACTACCACTGAGCTAAGGGAAATGTCCCCTGGCGCCTAGCTACAAGGGGATCGTAATCCTATGTACATATAGAGACCGTGGGATGAGGATCTCTGTGACACACTCTTGTAATGGGGTATTTATATATTGCCAATTTGCTATTATATAATAAGTGTCCAACCAATATTTCTCTTCAGTTTTGAATTTTGTGTTTCATAAAGAAGTGAAACTCACTGCATGATCATAATACCCTTGTACAGAATCCAAGGTTACTGTATGGTATATGTACACTGGATGAAAATAACAGTAGTTGACAAATTCCCACTGGTAAATTCATAAATATTACATCCATGATTTTAATGCTGACTGCAACAAAATAACACTGATCAACAGTGTTAGAGTTTTGATGAGGCCTTGGTAGACAGGTGTAATGAAAATGTGATGGTCTTTTGCCAATTGAAGGATGTGTATGCGTGAATGATCATATTTTTCAGTTTGATATTTTCAGGAAACAAACAACACGTCATCATGGTTTACAACATATTTTATTTTATACATTCTATAGAAATGAATGAGAAGATTCTATGTTATGTAATGTACACATGGTCAGCATGCTAACACATGTACTGATCACACATCAATCACAACATACACCTATATAGCACTCTCCTTAGTATTTTCTTTCAACAGTAACTGACATAAATGAACAAAAATTTAAGCTAAAGGTGAAGGGATAATGCTATGTCGCATTTACTCTTACATTTAATGTATCTCAAAGTGATCCATAATGTGCATTGCAGAACATTTAAAATGACACATTTTCACAATCACACCATGACAGCAGACCAGAAATACTGTCTACATCTGCATACACTGATAGAGAAATGAAGTCTTTATCAAAATACTTGCAATGTCAATTTTCTTTTTTCTCTCTCATTTTCTCGTCACTTTTACATAATGTCTACTTTGTGCAGAAATATATACATGTACACTGTAAAACAAGCCACTTGTTCGCAATAGTCATCTCTCTTGAAAACAAAAGATTGTGTTCCTTAACTTCCTTATAAAGCTCAGACGAATGTTGACATGGATACTGAGACATAATGTTAACCATCTTCTGAAGTATTCCCTACAGCAGCATGAAGGCAGTGGAAGTTTAACGGTCAACAGTCTGATTTACACTCACAACTCTTCAATGAACCCTGGTCTGGTTCACCTGTGTATCCGTTTCACTACTTATAACCATATATTGTGTTATTACCCAATAGTCTATATAAATTATAATTAGACATTTTTGACTGTTTATGGCTTTTTGTCCAATTTCGGCTGTAGGGGTGAAACAGTCAAAACTGTTTTCCCGGTCAGAGCGAACTGTTACCTGGCGCGAATTCGATGCGCAGAAATCCCCCCTCCAGAGCCCCCTTCAAGCATTTCGGTGACCGCGACTCAGTGTTGAAGCAATGGCCTCGGGCAAACAGTTCCCCAGGGCTTCCCCCTACTTCGGGATGATAGTTTTGACTGTTCCCCAAATAGCCGTGAAACAATTGTATATTGTTAATTTATAATACAGAAACAGTTTCCAGTGTATCTGGAAACTTGCCCAGTATTTGACTGTAACTCATAAATTTTAGCCGTTTAAAGTTGAAATAACTTAAAAGTATTTGACTTTTACTCATGAAATACTTATACACTCAAGTGTTGATTTCGTCCTTTACAGTTGAAATACAATGATGTATATCAAGCTGAGTAGTAAAATGTAATTCTATATCCTGATCAATTTACCTCACCACAGCGAAAACAATTATGTCTCGGCAAATATTTCACGACAAACCGTTTAACAGAAAGTGCTGTAGGACCACACTAGATATCAACAAGCTCACAGGTGTGTTGGTACTGCACAAACTGTCTTGTCCTGGACGATGGGGTTACATTTATGGCATTGTTAGCTATCTCATGTCATAATGGTAAATGAACACATTCATTGCTAATTTGTCTCTGTATCATCAACTGGACTCCGATGAAGACTTGTTTTTTTTAGTCGGTGGATCATCAGATTCGTGGTCTGTTGGGGCAGCAGAAGAATTGGAATCGCCTGACAAAAAAGTATAATTGATATAAAAAGATGGGCCATATTTAAGATTTGATGTTGAAATATCTTAAATACCCTCCGGTATACTTAATAAACATAATTCTTTAATGTTGGCAAAATATTACCAAAAGTTTTTCTTTCAGTGTTATTGACTGTAAAGCAGCAAATTTCACCATAGTCTGTTGGCTCCTCTATTGAAATCAAAATATAACAACACAGAATTACATTATACACTTTGGTTGACAAACAAGACAGAGCTACGGGACTTTGTCGAGTAAGATATCAACAAACTAACCACTGTCTTTCTTTAAATTACTCTCTTCTTTTTTCTCATCTCGAACCATACTCATTGCTAAAAGGAAATATAAAGGATAAATACACATATTAGTATCATGGAAAAAGTCACCATATTCATTGTTTTATCACCAATATCATTCACCGAATTTCTCATCCGTCTATTATTTGTATCCTTTCTAACATTTATTTAGACTAATCTTAAATTGTTCATTTACAAATTTTGCACTTATTAAAACTGCTAACAAGCCTAGCTCTTCACTCAACTACAAAGAAAATAAACTTTCAACGTCAAGTGTTTTATTTTGAGACTGGAGGATTTCACAATAAAGTCACATCAGCGCACGAGTCTGGTCTTAAACTTGACATTTCAGTGAGATTTTTCAAACTTATATAGCTCTAAAACAATGAATACGATGGATCACATTCCAGGAGCAGTGCATGGTAAAATACAATAGGTGTTTCCCAATTAAAGTCAAAGCTTTATAATATTACAAATAAATATTTTTTTAATGTATGACTACCAGTACTTATATATCTCTCAGAAAAAGTAACTGATAACTGAGTTTAAGATTATGTTTTGCAGTTTATAATACTTGTGATTATATTGCCAACATTAATTTGTATTTGATCAGTATTAATGAAATGTTATTACAGATAAGAAGATGCCGCAGTTATACTATTATAAATGATATAAAGTTTATGGAAGCTTAAGGGAAAAACGCATTGTAAAACCTTCAGAACACAAGAAGGTTCAGGAAGGAGAATGTGCAGGAAACCTGGCTGAAGCCAAAGTCACACATATTAGAAAGTAGAATGTGATGTTAGTTTTTTTCTGATTATGATCAATTTCAGATATTTTTTATCGTTGGTGTCTCACCTAGTCTCATATCTGCCTCATTGCTGTCGTTATCTGCGTCTTGTGAGAAGGGAGGGTTGGTGTTCTGTGTGTCGGCGAACGACAAGTTGGAGTCTTCGTTGATGGTCCCAGAGCCCTCACTACAGTTGGAGTCTGGTACAGACTGCTGTGTGTTTTCGTCTGTGTATACACTGGAGGCTGTAAATATAGAGACATATATTATATCATAATATTCACAGGTAGAGAAAAATTTACAGGTTTGAACTCATAAATATTAAGTGAATATATTTCAGAAGATATTAATATTAGACAAGTCATTGCCTGTGCCCCTCTTTGACCATCAATGCACATATTGTTGAAATAAATTCAATGTAGACAACATTTGAAATGTTATGTCTCGTGTTTGATGGGTCTAAGTTTGGTTGGTCTAGCACTTAAGGTTTCAGAGAAACTAACTTAAACGCAAAAACTTAATGTCGATGGAGATGCTGACAAAGTGAATGGACCATGAAAGGTAGGCCGCATCCAGCATTTGATGCCTGTGTTGAGATGTGCTACCTAAGATGCATCTTTAGTCCAAGTTTGGTTGATCTAGCACTTATACTTTCAGTGGAACTAATTTAAATGCAAAAACTTAATGTTGACGCCACCGTCATCTTGAATTTCGATGTTATGATCACTATCAAAAAGTCAAACACCTTTTCAAGTTAAAACAAAAATTATACAATACCACCCTCAAAGCATCTCATTTCGTACAATGATAAAGAATGTACCATCTATAAACAACCACTTATACCTTGTTTGTCCACAAATCGGGCTTAACTATAAGTGCTTTATCCATGAATTCGTATTTTGTAACTCTTTGTTCGAGAATGTCATTCACCTTGAATGTTGGATGTCATACATTTGAACAAATTATATTACCTAACAACCCTGACACCATACATCTTGTTTCTATGCTTTGTGAAACATCATTAAATCTTTTTTAACCATTTAGAAAATTTGACCCATGATCTTTGTTTAGCACATTTGACACCCGAGATCTTGAAACCACTAGTGAAGTTAATTTGTTTGAATAAAATTTAACACTAATGATGGTCCTTCACTTAAGAGGCTGCAGTTCTAGAGCATTATTCTAGTGCTTGTGGTAAATTAGAAACTGTCATCCAAGGTACATGTTTGATCACTGCGGTCTTGAGACTTGGTTATATTATTTCAAAGCTAATCAATCCAGCATGCTACAGGCCATATTGAAAATGTAGTCAGAATTGTTATATGTCAGATATGTCTGCTATATTATATAACAAACATACTGAAATATTTTACTGACCTATTTTCTATATTGGCAAATGTTGTTATACTTTTCTTTTATGAACACAAATTTCCAAATGGGAAAGCTTAGGGAAATTGTTTTTGCTACTTCAAAAAAACACCCACCAAAAACATGAAAGGTGGGTTGGGGTTAGGGATGAGTGGTTAAAAGCTGGTGAACAATCTCAGTAAAATGCCTTCCTATGACTCATCATGCAATCCTGGATGATTACTATAACAAGAGGCCCATGGGCCTTAACAGTCACCTGAGTCCTACAGTATTTATTTTTGTTGTTGAAATATGTACCAATTTAAGTAAAAAATAGTTAAGTATAATGTTAACTTAACTCTGTCAGGACCATGAGCTGATCATTCCTAGACCGATTTTAAATAAGATCGGCCTATTATTAATTGTTTTTAAGTTTAGAATAGGTGTTTACAAAATAGCGACTGTGGTGGCCATATTGGATTTCTGATTGACCTGAAAAATAACAACACTTTGTCAGGACCATGAGTCGATCATTCCTACCAACTTTCAGTTCAATCGCCCCAGCAGAACTTGACTTTAAGTTTGAAATAGGTATTTTCAAAATGGCGGCCGTGGCGGCCATATTGGATTTCTGATCGACCCGAAAAATAACAACACTTTGTCAGGACCATGAGGCGATCATTCCTACCAACTTTCAGTTCAATCGGCCCAGCAGAACTTGACTTTAAGTTTGAAATAGGTTTTCAAAATGGCGGCCGTGGCGGCCATATTGGATTTCTGATCGACCCGAAAAATAACAACACTTTGTCAGGACCATGAGGCGATCATTCCTACCAACTTTCAGTTCAATCGGCCCAGCAGAACTTGACTTTAAGTTTGAAATGTAAAATGTTAACGGACGACGACGGACGAAAACGGATAGCAATAGGTCACTTGAGCTAAAGCTCAGGTGACCTAAAAAGACAGTATCTACACATGTACATGACTCTACATATCAGTTCAATGGAATCTTATTGTATACAGTAACACATGAAGAAGGTAATTATGTAATCAGACAATATATATTAAAACTGACTTCACAAAATTTAGTCAAATAGCTTACTACTTTTATATCTGCTCTTGAATGATAAAAAGCTTAAAGCAAACTGAACATCAAGCAGGATAGCAAAAAAGCATGACAGCAGAAATAAAAAGCAAACCTATGCGGCCATTAACAGAATCACTTTTCCCATTAAGCATGCCTGCAGCAGAGCAGTCTGGGGTGGAATCCTTGGCATGCGACTCACTTCTCTTCCCTTGGCACGACTCCTGATCTACTGCCGAAGAATTGGAGTTCTCTGAACAGACAAAAGATAAACACGTTTCAAATTCAAGTACCATGGTAGACAGTTTGTTATAAATCAAAGATTAGAAAGTAACTCTTGACAAACATGATACACATTATTTTTAACAAAAATAAAGAAGTGCATGAGATGAAAATAAGGACCAATTCAAAATCTAAAAGAGAGGACAATTTTACAAAAGAACAAAGACAATTTTTATGTTACGTTTTCTACAAACATACGCAGAGCATGATATGGTTCAATATTGATGACTTTCACCTGCAATACTGTATTAACTTAAGCTTCCATTTATATATATAAATCATTTATTTTACATCAATTATGAAACCATTTATATCAATCACTCTGGCCTGAATGTTAGCGCACAATGGAGGTAACTGGAGAACCTGAAGAAAACCTTCTACATTTTAACATCTGATTGGAGACCCTGTGATGTCCGTCTTGGAGAAAGGTGATCATGAGTGCCCTATCCACCGAGTCACCCTACCACCCTTCATACGTACCTTTTTTACTCTTATAGGCTATTTATAGGCCAGTGTGTCAACTGCTTGCAATCACTCTTAGTGAAAATTTGTATAACCTAACTGCCTTATTTATATTATTACTGACCTCCATAAAGGTACCCAGATAAATGTTTCATGTTATACTGCATACCTTCCTGAGGGAAATTACGTTCCGAATCCTTATCACTGCCATTTTTCCCTCCTTTCTGTCCAGCAGACTGCCCTTTCACACCTTTTTTAATCAGTGACGGCTGAAACACCAATTCATCAGCATTCATGTATAACTACTTCTAGGTATTTCACTTACATAATTAAGCTCAAAAGCTGATAAAACTATGAATACAACAGTACCTTTAAGTGATAACTGTTGTGGTTTGCTACACTGGAATTACACTTTAGAGTTTACATAGGATATGGGAAAACTCAGTGGCCAGACAGGGCATTACACATATGACCTCCAAAATCTAGATAGATGCTCTAAGCTACTTTAAGCTAGTCAACAGTGTTCTTCTCTTGGACAAGTGGTTTTAAAACCTCAATTTTATGAACATCATTATTAATCTAACAACTCATTGAATTTCTGAAGTCATTTTATAAATGACCAGCACTTCTATTGAACTTAAAGGTGTTTACATCTACAAACGACATGTTCTATAATTCACTGATATTAATGAGGAAGGAGTTTAAAAAATTGAGATTATATGATTGAAGATGAAATGGCATCTAGATTTATGTCTAAATACTTCCTTCAAGACACTGATCATATGCTGTGCATTACCTGGGTTGGCTCTGGTGATGATACTGACAAAACAAAATGAAAAACAATTAAATAGAAATGGAACAAAATATTTTTAAAATTTGAGTCACTGAAACATGCAATGGTGATCGAGTACATACAGTACATATATGTACATTATGGATCTTAATCAATGTGCTTGTTTCTACTCAATATTTTATATTGCCATCCGGATCCCTTGGCAATAGATTTACACCTCAGATCCACTCTTTTTAATCACTTTATCCCAGATTGCACACACTGTATTTATAAATAGTACTTGTATAAGTTCTAGTGTTATATTTGATTTACCTGTTAGATCGGTATTAATATGAAGAAAGTAATACAATATCTACGTGTATCTATAGTGTGTCATAAAACATTTGTATGATGTACTATATATTGACAAGGTGTCTGTTGTTTATTTATTAGCGGCAATAACAAAACGGCATTCATCTTTTCAACTCTTTCTTATAATGTTTTATTAATTAACCCTTTCAACACTGAAAACCATAATGGACTCATCCAGATCAATGCATGGTGGAGTCTACTAAAGTTACATAGGGTTGAAAGGGATTAGCAGTGAATGTTCTATTACCTGGGACCCACTTGAATATACGCATGGTGGTATCTCCGATAGTCACCCATTTCTTCTCCCTAAAATACAAAATAATACAAAGATTCAAACATTTACATCACAATAATTTGATTTTGTTTGCAACACTTTTTTTACAATGAATATTTTTTTTATGGTGATAGTAATTCATGGCAAAATATTCTCATTAAAAGTAATGTCCATCTCATAGTCCAGAGATTAAGTTGCTAAGCCCCAATAGAGGTTGGAGTCCAGATATTTGTATAATTTTTATCCAGAGCACACAAGAATGTTTTTGATCATCTTTGGTTTCAATCTTTTACTGATTTTAAGAGTAGTCACTTGCACTCTAAGCAATATCTATGGCCAAAGTCTTGCTTGCTTCTCTTCTCCTAAACCCCATGCATATGCCATTATGAGGTCGGCCCCTGCCATTTGTACATAGTTCAAAACAGCATATAGGTTGAAGGATATGTTGGTGTTCCAACTTGGGTACTGTCACCTTATACCAGATTATCAGCTTTAGGTATGTAGTTTGTACAAAAGATTATGAAATTCTATAAAAAAATAATAGCAGCATATTTATTATTATTGTGTTTCTTTTTGGTATTAGTGCCTATAGCTACTGTTATTATTAAATTTTGATATAATTTGAGACTCGTGCGGCCAAAAGACGGGTTGAAGATGAATAAGCATCATTGGCTCCATTTGATCTCCCTGATTTTAGGATTTGCATTGTTTATTCAAAATTAGTAGCCCTCTTTACAATAAAAGTTTAAGGCACACTGACAGTAATGTTGCCACTGTAGACACGACTAGACAACTTGGAAATTCTCACAAACGAGGGAAAATCCTCAGGTAAGAGATTATCATCAACATATGAAACCGACACAAGTTTTTATGTAAATTCATATACATGTGTAATACTTATAGGGAGAAAGACAGTGGGTGGCGGTGTCAAAAATAGTTAACAACTAAACGCAAACTGCCCAGACAGCACTCGGCAAGAAAGCCAAGATCGACAACACATACCACTTCCGGACTTTGTCGATGGCGCTAATAACCCGCTTAATGTCTTCCTTCGCACGACTTCTGGTCTCTGCTCTGATCGACCGCGACAACATGACTTTGAAAATTGCGCTTAATGTAATCAAATAGGTACTTTGTCTCTGCCACCATAGGCTTTCCACCGATAAACAAAAGAGGGACCCGGATGTACTGTTCGGATTATATGCGTGTTTTTATGAAAAGTCTGAAGAGACTCGAAATGTTGTAAGAGGTATAATAGACCTGTTACCATACATATCGTATATTAAAGTTCATCTCACTGGAGGTTACACAGTAACTCAAATCAAACTATGTTGTTTATACGGGTGTATATCTGAATGCCAACATGTTTAGTTTTCCTGTTGGACAGTTTATTTGTTAGAGAAATGATAACTTGAAAACAATACAAACTTCATGTTAAAAGACAACTTCTGAATCAAGAACACTTCTTAATGGATAGAAATATTCCAGCCACAGTTACTTTAATGCTCTTTATTTTGTTTTTTAATAACTAATTGAGTAATTAAAAAAAGTTGAAATATTTTGATTATTTATTTCATAAATAGTGCTATTAACTTTTTTTAACGTGTCTGAAAAATTCAGTCCAGGTTTTATTCCCTGTGCATACATTTCAAATTACATTACCTGAATAAATTACATTTTGAAATATGGATTAGTACCAAATATTCAATTAACAAAAACACTTAGAAAACCTCCTTTTGCATAATTAATACATAGAGTTCAATTTGTATATGCCATTTCAATGCTAACTTGACGAACATGATTCGGAAGGGTGAAGATCTATAGGGGTCATGCTAGATGGAAATTTGAACCTTCGGTCTCATATTCAACAATGGATAAACAAAGCAAGCAGTATAGTAGGACTAATAAGGTAAACGTTTGTATATCTTGATGAACCAATGTTTTTATTATTATTTAAAGCTTTAGTCGGGCCTTGAACATGCTAAACCTGTTATTGATGCACCCGCAGTTAAAAAATTTGAAATTCTTATAGATGAACACTTGAAGAATAATTGTAATTATAACATTTATGAACATTAATTTCACCTGAATTGTATTTAACCTGAAGTAATATATGTAATATTGTGTTATTGTATTTTACCTGAAGTAGTATATGTAATATTGTGTTATTGTATTTTACCTGAAGTAGTATATGTAATATTGTGTTATTGTATTTTACCTGAAGTAGTATATGTAATATTGTGTTATTTTGATATGGATAAAAAGGCTTAAAGCCTGCGTCCATTATAATTCCTAATAAATCCCAACAAAGATGTAGGCGAGTTCACTCTGTATGTTATCACCAAATATATGCCATTAATGACATACAATACTGAGTGCATGGCAATGTTTACTTATATACCATTAATTACATACAATACTGAATGCATGGCAATGTTTACTTATATACCATTAATTACATATAGTACTGAGTGAATGGGAATGTTTACTTATACAACATTAATTACATACAGTACTGAGTGAATGGCAATGTTTACTTATATACCATTACTTACATATAGTACTTAGTGAATGGGAATGTTTACTTATATACCATTAATTACATACATTACTGAGTGAATGGGAATGTTTACTTATATACCATTACTTACATATAGTACTGAGTGAATGGGAATGTTTACTTATATACCATTAATTACATACAGTACTGAGTGAATGGGAATGTTTACTTATATACCATTAATTACATACAATACTGAGTGCATGGGAATGTTTACTTATATACCATTAATTACAAACAATACTGAGTGAATGGGAATGTTTACTTATATACCATTAATTACATAAAGTACTGAGTGAATGGGAATGTTTACTTATATACCATTAATTAGATACAGTACTGAGTGAATGGGAATGCTTACGTATATATCATTAATTAGATACAGTACTGAGTGAATGGGAATATTTACTTATATACCATTAATTACATACAATACTTAGTGGAATTGTTTTCTTATATACCATTAATTACATATAGTACTGAGTGAATGGCAATGGTTACTTATATATCATTAATTACATAAATACTGAGTGAGTGGGATTGTTTTATAATATACCATTAATTACATGCAATACTTAGTGGAATTGTTTACTTATATACCATTAATTACATATAGTACTGAGTGAATGGGAATGCTTACTTATATACCATTACTTACATACAGTACTGAGTGATTGGGATTGTTTACCCATATCACATTAGGTACATACAATACTTAGTGGGATTGTTTACTTAGCATACAGTACTGAGTGAATGGAATTGTTTATTTACATACCATTACATTACATGCTCCAAGAACGGTAGTACATTTACCTAGTCTTACTGTTCAAGATAACACATTCAAGTGACAGCCTACATACCAACTTAAGGCAGTGGAAGCGATAAGAACAAATACTGTACTATAGACTATCTGCTGATAACACCGCGAAATCTGTAGATATTGTCAGTACCTACTTATTAACAATGACGTCTAGTGCGATTTTTATCACCGCTTTACTGGCAGTAATTGTCGTATTGGTAAGTTATAAAATCACAAATGGTAGTATTGGCTTGTTGCTGGTATATATCGACATATTTTCAAGCACATTCTTTAAACGTAATTGCCTATCCAACTCCTGGACACTGCTATCCAGCTGTTACGTATACCTGCAATATGGACATGTCCTCTATCTTATTAGAGTATTATCTCTGGTCTACCAAAAGTTAAACAAAGCTGATCTTGCAGTCGTAAAACTTGTATTATTGACTTTGTAGTATTGTATCATGCCCGGTTTAGATAATTAATTTGGGACATTATTATCTGAACCATCATACCTTTGCAAGATCAAACGAAATTAAGAACAGCACATGTTATTTAACGTATCGTATAAAAAAAGGATAAGTCAATATTTGATATTTTTTAGTTTTATTTTATGCAACTAATTTTGAATTATATATGTATACATCGAATCTAGATTAAACTGATATCGGTAAGTCTAACACTAGTGGTTATATAACCTATCATACTTTCCAGAAATAAGAACGTTCTTTATTAATCATTTATTTTATTCGCCAAAGTAAAACCCAATATATGCGTTTGCAGTGCCAGTGTTCAGGTTATAACTGTTTTATAAGTTTGATTCAACAGAAGGCTGCTATTCACAACAAGACTGTGGGTCGAATGAATGCTGCGTCTCCAACGATCAGCCGAGGGGAAAACGAATGTCCCTCGTGTTGGCTGGACACTGCCAGGCCATGGGTCAACCGGGGTCACGTGAGTACATATATGTTGTTTCTCAAACACAATTGAATGTAATTACAATAATTCAAGTTTTGAAAAAAGGTACATTTTCTATGTTGACATTTGCAAAGTTACTGTTGTTTTAAGTTCCAAAACATTTCGAATAAGACGATCTGTAATTGTGTTATTTCAACTCTCAGGGTGTCTGATGCGATACGGAGGAGGTAAGACTACACCACCTCTCGATATGGTATACGCATGTCCATGTGGACCTGGTCTGATGTGCAAGGGGAGTGGACTGATTGAGGTTCCTCTGGGAGAAACGGGTATACACTTTTCCTTTAATATTCTTTTTGTCATAATAAACGCGATTTTGATGAGTGCGGATTCTTTTATATGCAGTAGCTAATGCAGTGTTCATATATATGTTCACAATACCACCTACTAAAACAAACAACAATTACAATGTCTGATACACGACCACAATACCACCTACTAAAACAAACAACAATAACAATGCCTGATACGCGACCACAATACCACCTACTAAAACAAACAGCAATAACGATGTCTGATACACGACCACTAAAACAAACAGCAATAGCAATGCCTGATACACGACCACTATATCACCTACTAAAAAAACCCAACAATACCAATGCCTGATACTCGACCACAATACCACCTACTACAACAAACAACAATAACAATGCCTGATACATGACCACAATACCACCTTCTAAAACAAACAGCAATAACAATGCCTGATACACGACCACAATACCATCTACTAAAACAAACAACAATGACAATGCCTGATACACTACCACAATACCACCTACTAAAACAAACAGCAATATCAATGCCTGATACACGACCACAATATCACCTACTAAAAAAACCCAACAATAACAATGCCTGATACCCGACCACAATACCACCTACTAAAACAAACAGCAATAATAATGCCTGATACACGACCACAATACCACCCACAATACCACCTACTAAACCAAACAACGATAACAAAACAAACAACAATAGCAATGCCTGATACACGACCACAATACCACCTACTTAAACAAACAGCAATAACAATGTCTGATACACGAACACTAAAACAAACAGCAATGGCAATGCCTGATACACGACCACAATACCATCTACTAAAACAAACAACAATGACAATGCCTGATACACTACCACAATACCACCTACTAAAACAAACAGCAATAGCAATGCCTGATACACGACCACAATACCATCTACTAAAACAAACAACAATGACAATGCCTGATACACTACCACAATACCACCTACTAAAACAAACAGCAATAACGATGTCTGATACACGACCACTAAAACAAACAGCAATAGCAATGCCTGATACACGACCACTATATCACCTACTAAAAAAACCCAACAATAACAATGCCTGATACTGGACCACAATACCACCTACTAAAACAAACAACGATAACAATGTCTGATACACAACCACAATACCACCTACTAAAACAAACAACGATAACAATGTCTGATACACAACCACAATACCACCTACTAAAACAAACAACGATAACAATGCCTGATACACGACCACAATACAACCTACTAAAACAAACAGCAATAGCAATGCCTGATACACGACCACAATATCACCTACTAAAAAAACCCAACAATACCAATGCCTGATACTCGACCACAATACCACCTACTCAAACAAACAACAATAACAATGCCTGATACATGACCACAATACCACCTTCTAAAACAAACAGCAATAACAATGCCTGATACACGACCACTAAAACAAACACCGATAACTATGCCTGATACACGACCACAATACCACGTACTAAAACGAACAGCAATAACAATGTCTGATACACGACCACTAAAACAAACAGCAATAGCAATGCCTGATACACGACCACTATATCACCTACTAAAAAAACCCAACAATAACAATGCCTGATACTGGACCACAATACCACCTACTAAAACAAACAGCAATAACAATGCCCCATACACGACCGCAATACCACCTACTAAAACAAACAACAATAACAAGGCCCGATACACGACCACAATACCACCTACTAAACCAAACAACGATAACAAAACAAACAACAATAGCAATGCCTGATACACGACCACAATATCACCTACTAAAAAAACCCAACAATACCAATGCCTGATACTCGACCACAATACCACCTACTAAAACAAACAACGATAACAATGTCTGATACACAACCACAATACCACCTACTAAAACAAACAACGATAACAATGTCTGATACACAACCACAATACCACCTACTAAACCAAACAACGATAACAAAACAAACAACAATAGCAATGCCTGATACACGACCACAATATCACCTACTAAAAAAACCCAACAATACCAATGCCTGATACTCGACCACAATACCACCTACTACAACAAACAACAATAACAATGCCTGATACATGACCACAATACCACCTTCTAAAACAAACAGCAATAACAATGCCTGATACACGACCACTAAAACAAACACCGATAACTATGCCTGATACACGACCACAATACCACGTACTAACACAAACAGCAATAACAATGTCTGATACACGAACACTAAAACAAACAGCAATGGCAATGCCTGATACACGACCACAATACCACGTACTAACACAAACAGCAATAACAATGTCTGATACACGACCACTAAAACAAACAGCAATAGCAATGCCTGATACACGACCACTATATCACCTACTAAAAAAACCCAACAATACCAATGCCTGATACTCGACCACAATACCACCTCCTAAAACAAACAACAATAACAATGCCTGATACGCGACCACAATACCACCTACTAAAACAAACAGCAATAACGATGTCTGATACACGACCACTAAAACAAACAGCAATAGCAATGCCTGATACACGACCACTATATCACCTACTAAAAAAACCCAACAATAACAATGCCTGATACTGGACCACAATACCACCTACTAAAACAAACAGCAATAACGATGTCTGATACACGACCACTAAAACAAACAGCAATAGCAATGCCTGATACACGACCACAATATCACCTACTAAAAAAACCCAACAATAACAATGCCTGATACTCGACCACAATACCACCTACTAAAACAAACAACAATAACAATGCCCGATACACGACCACAATACCACCTACTAAAACAAACAACAATAACAATGCGTGATACACGACCACAATACCACCTACTAAACCAAATAGCAATAACAATGCCTGATACACGACCATAATACCACCTACTGAACCAAACAACGATAACAATTCCTGATACACGACCACAATACCACCTACTAAACCCTGATACACGACCATAATACCACCTACTAAACCAAACAGCGATAGCAATGCCTGATACACGACCATAATGCCACCTACTGAACCAAACAACGATAACCATTCCTGATACACGACCACAATCCCACCTACTAGAACAAACAACAATAACAATGCTTGATACATGACCACAATACCACCTTATAAAACAAACAGCAATAACAATGCATGATACACGACCACAATACCACATAGTAAAACAAACAGCAATAACAATTCCGGATACACGACCACAATACCACATACTAAAACAAACAGCGATAACAATGTCTGATACACGACCACAATACCGCGTACTAAATCAGACAGCAATAACACTGTCTGATACACGACCACTAAAACAAACAGCAATAGCAATTCCTGATACACGACAACAATACCACCTACAAAAACAAACAACAATAACAATGCCCGATACACAACCACAATACCACCTACTAAAGCAAACAACGAAAACAATTCCTGATACACCACCAAAACACCACCTACTAAAACAAAGAACAATAACAATGCCTGATGCACGACCACAATACCACCTACTAGAACAAACAACAATAACAATGCTTGATACATGACCACAATACCACCTTATAAAACAAACAGCAATAACAATGTCCGATACACGACCGCAATACCACCTACTAAACCAAAAAACAATAACAATGCCTGATACATGACCACAATACCCCCTTCTAAAACAAACAGCAATAACAATTCCGGATACACGACCACAATACCACATACTAAAACAAACAGCGATAACAATGTCTGATACACGACCACAATACTACCTACTAAAACAAACAACAAAAGCAATGTCTGATACACGACCACAACACCACCTACTAAAACAAACAGCAAGAACAATGCCTGATACACGACCAAAATACCACCTACTAAAACAAAGAACAATAACAATGCGTGATACACGACCACAATACCATCGTCGAAAACAAACAACAATAACAATGACCGATACACGACCACAATACCTCCTACTAAAACAAACCTACTGAACCAAACAACGATAACAATTCCTGATACACGACCCCAATACCACATACTAAAACAAACAGCGATAACAATGTCTGATACACGACCACAATACCAGCTACTAAAACAAATAACGATAACAATGCCTGGTACACGACCACAATACCACCTTCTAAACCATACAACGATAACAATTCCTGATACACGACCCCAATACCACATACTAAAACAAACAGCGATAACAATGTCTGATACACGACCCCAATACCCCCTACTAAACCAAACAACAATAACAATGCCTGATACATGACCTCAATACCACCTTCTAAAACAAACAGCAATAACAATGCCCCATACACGACCGCAATACCACCTACTAACCCAAACAACGAAAACAATTCCTGATACACCACCAAAACACCACCTACTAAAACAAAGAACAATAACAATGCGTGATACACGACCACAATACCATCGTCGAAAACAAACAACAATAACAATGTCTTATACACGACCACAATACCACGTACTAAAACAACCAACAATAACAATGCCTGATACATGACCACAATACCACCTTATAAAACAAACAGCAATAACAATGCCCGATACACAACCACAATACCACCTACTAAAGCAAACAACGAAAACAATTCCTGATACACCACCAAAACACCACCTACTAAAACAAAGAACAATAACAATGCCTGATGCACGACCACAATACCACCTACCAAACCAAACAACGATAACAATGCCTGAAACACGACCACAATCCCACCTACTAGAACAAACAACAATAACAATGCCTAATACATGACCACAATACCACCTTATAAAACAAACAGCAATAACAATTCCTGATACACTACCACAATACCACCTACTAAACAATGCCTGATACACGACCATAATACCACCTACTAAACCAA